GTCGAAAACTACTCTTAAAATCAGTGTGCTGCTGCCAGCCGTCGTGTTGTTGCCTCCGGCGGCCTCTGGCTCCCCACCGCGGGGGTGTTTCACCAAGGGCCGCGCCGGTCCATGCAACAGGTGCAAGGGCGTGCAAGGGCCTCTCTCTTGCTCCGTCTTTCCATCGAGAGAGAAGTTCCAGTTCGTTTCGCCCGTGCGTAGAGAAACGTTGTCGGCCTAGCCCTTAGTGGTAATGGTAATGGGCCGAGCGCCCGGCGCGTAGGCCATCCCGCTACTCGCGCGCTCGGCAGGCTTGCCTACCCCGAGGTTCGCAGGCGCCATAGGGCGAGAGGCCGCAGATGCTGCGGGCAGGGATCGCACCGAGCTGGCGACCCTTTGCTGTGAGCTTACATCTTGCTGGAGTCTTGCTGGAGTCTTGCTGGAGCCTTGCTGGAGTCTTTCACACCTTGCTTGTCCCTTGGTCGAACCTTTCTGGCAAGATTTCTGCTGTATTTGCCACACATTTCACCTATAGGCTCTTTTACCGTGGAATGCGTTCATGTTTTGCGCAATGAAAGGGGGTTTGATCCAGCCACCTTGAATCCTGCCACATGCTGGAACCTTTCCACTCGATTTCCACCCTTGCCGGAACTGCCCCCCACTCTTCCCCGCGTAAGACGACACTGCCGTTGCAACCCAAGCCAAGCATGCCTCTGGGCGGAAACCAATCCGCGCGCCCCGCTCACAGAGTCTGTCTCTCTCGCTCCCTTGCGAGGCGCCCCGTGAGTGCGAGAGAGAGGGAGACAGTGCCAAGACATAACGGCTCTCCGGTATCACTCTGTCTGCAGGGGATGTATTTCCACGCACGCGGCGCGTGCAGCGCGTGCTGTCGGAAAGGCTGCAAAAGTGACAGATTTTGGGGCCGACTTTCCCTGCCTCGATTGGCCGCGCAAAAAGTGGTTCATGGGATAAGACTTCGGCAGCTTTAGCAAAGACATAGGCAGCTACAGCTAGGACTACAGGCAGCTACAGCTAAGACATAAACAGTTCCCAGGGAGTCCCTGGAGCCGTTTTCGTCGTGCACGCTGCCTGGCTCCGGAAATAGAAACATGCTCATCCTGGAGGGCCGCACGTTTCTCTGCCGCCCGGCCCTGAGGGCTCGCTGCTCTACAGCAATCTCATTCGTCGCTCTGTCTCTCTCGCACTCACTGCGCGCCCCGTGTGGGTGCGAGAGAGACAGCGCGACGGCGGCATGGCGGCGGTCCGAGCGTCGCTCGTCGCTACGCGGGCTGCGACAGCTGCGCTGCGCTTACGTAAAGCGGGGTGGACGGTCTGATTGGACCCGAAATACGCGGAGCCGTTATTAGCTTCGGCCGAACTGGAGCGAGCCTCGACTCCACGCAGACCAGACGACAGTACGACAGTCGCGTTGATAATGAGAGGGGGACAATTAAAAACTCGAGCGTGACGACGCGACGCTTCGTTCGCTGAGACGGTCGAACTCTTTGCTGCGCTTTTTCCTGAAGCGTGCCGAGGAGATTAAACCACCCCGTGCGTTTAGACAGGAGGGCTGACTATGTCACCGGGCGCCTCAGCAAGGGCAGCGCGCTAAGGAAAGCTCCGAGTTGCGTCTGAGTTTTGCCGGCGAGTTCCGATTTTCACTAAAGTTGAAACAGCAGCCCTGTTATAAACTTTGCTGCAGATTGTTTTGGATTTAATTATTCGACATGAGTCCATACCGTCTTCAACAATTAAATTTGCTATTAAATACGCACAGTCTGACGTAGGAGCGCTGAGAACGCGACGCGCATGCGACTATCACGCGTAATGACGATTTCGTCGCTCTGCCTCTCTCGCGCCTGTACAGGAACGTCCCACGAGTGAGAGAGAGGCGACTCTTGGAATCAGTCTGCTGTCAGACCCACGAGCGTAGGGCTCCAGCGGGGGACCTAAAAAAAGTCGGGTTATATGATCCACCCCTTGCCCCTCCTCGGACAAGAACGCATCGTGCCTCCACTGGCATCTTGCGCAACGAACGCCGGCAACACCGCGGTGGCCCCGGCATGGCCCCGGCACGGCCTCGGGGTGGAACGGAGGCAAGGGAGAGAGGACAGGGGCGGCCACGGCTCTGCTAGAGGGCCTCCCAGGCTTGCCGGCGGCAGACTGAGTCGTTTTCGTCGCGTTCGTGTGGGTGCGAGAGAGACAGAGCTACCCCCGGACTGCAGGGCTCGCCCGGTACGCCGCCTCATGACTACTGCGCTTGCGTAAGGTGTGCAATCCAAAGCTGAGGCAAGCTAATCGGTCGTTGTTCTGGGTCTCCGGCGGCTCCAGCCACTCCAGCAGCCAGCAGGCTCCTTGCAGAGCTCTCGTCTTTCTTTCTCTGTCGCTCTCGAGGGGCGGCCCGCTGAGGTGCGAGAGAGACAGCACTATTTGGAATGAGCCTAAGACCCACCCTTAGCGTTTTTGTTTTTGTTTTTCATTTTATTTTGCGACTGTTCGTTTGAGTCGGGCGTTATTTTGGACTTGCCGCCGTTCCGCGGAAACGCTCAGTTTGAAGGTCGACACTGTGCCGGCACCTTCATTCACTCTTCATTTTCCTGGAGGACGGCAGAGAGAGACAGAGAGAGAGAGAGGGAGGTGTGCACGTGCTCCTTTCGGCCCGCTCGCCCATGCAGCGTGACCGCGGAGTCGCCGCGCCTTGGCCGCGCCGCACGGGCCCAACAGGCTAATTCCGAACAGGATTCGTCTCTCTCGCACTCATGGGGCGTCCCGCGAGGGTGCGAGAGAGACAGAGCGACGGAACTCGGTGCGGAGTCGCCTTACGCCGGCGTGTGATTAGGACAAAGATCTCCATTTCTATTTATACGTCGCCTGCCGCGGGAAATGCGACCGCGTTTCTTTCTAGCAGTTTCCGGAAGGGCTTCCCTCGGCTTCCCTTCGGGGGAGGGGAAGGGGAGGTGGTGACGCATGTTAATCCTGGGAAGGTTGGGCAGGTTAGGCTAGGTAAGGTTGGCTCCTCCTAATCCAGATTCAGGGAGTCCCCCCCGTCTGGGAGTCTGGCTGGCCGGCGCGGTGCGGACAGCCTCGGCGCCTCGGCCAGCGCCAGCCACGCCGCCGCGCCGCCACGCCGCCACGCCTCGTGGACTCGCAGCCTCGCCTCACGTGGCCGTCCTCATGCACGCCGTGCACGGCCGCCGGCAGACTCATTCCGAGAGTCGCTTTCGCTCTGTCTCTCTCGCGCTCGTGGGGCGCCCCGTACAGCTGCGAGAGAGACAGAGCGACGAAAACGACTCTCGGAATGAGTCTCCTGGAGATCGTCAGCGTCGTCAGCGCGAACCGAGCAGCCAACTTATGAATGTTTTGTGTTATCCTTCATCAGGTGGACGGCTGTCGTCGGCGTCCTCAGAGACGCGCCCCCGAGGCACCGCCCCCACCAGCCCGCTCCGCGGCCCCCTGGTGGCCAAGCAGGCCCAGCAGGCCAAGCTGGTGGCAGGCTAGCCGGGTAAGGTGTCCAGACGGGCGCAGGCGACGCCGTAAGGCGGCAGCAACCTGTTGCCTTGCTTTCCGGGCCGTTCCGGGCGTTTCCGGGGCTTTACCCGCGCCCGGCACGTCCGCTGGACAGCCGCTAAAGCAATCCCGTCTTCTGCCGGAGCTTCAGGACGCGTGGTGATGGAGACATGGAGTGCGGGGGCCCAGGACGGCGCGCCCCTCTCTGCGCCCCTCCCTGCGCCCCGCCAGGCCCGCGGCCCCAGCAGCCCCAGCAGCGACAGCGCCCAGGACAAGACCTAAGTGCCGATCGCCACCAGCGCTTCCTCCTCGACGCCGTCTTCGCTCTTCTCGGCCATGTCCCTGCCGAGCATCGCCTCGCCGCCCGCAGTGGTGCCCGGGCCCGCGGTGCCCGTGGCGCCCGTGGCGCCGTGCTCGCAGGTCATCGCCGGGCCCGCCATGGTGGGGCCCGCCATGGTGGCCGCCAGCCCCGGCCTCGTCCCAGCCGCCGCCCTCGGCGCCCTCAGCCCGACCTGCCCCGCCCTGGGCTCCGCACTCAGCCTCGGCCCCGTGGGCTGCGGCGCGGGGGTGGGCTCGGGGGCGGCGCAGGCGGCGGCGGCCACCACCACGGCCACGTCGTCGTCGTCGCCCTCGGGGATGCCGTCGCCCCAGCCGGGCCCGAGCATGACCACCAGCATGGCCTCCAACATGGCCTCCAGCATGGACACCAGTACAAACGCCGCCGAGCCGCAGGCCCAGTGCAGCGCCTACATCAGCGACGAAGTCACAGCCAGGTACGCGCTCAGCGGGCTCTGTCTGTTTCACTTCAAAATAACAGGGTGTGCCATGATGTGGGGCTGCGATAGAGGCAGAACGACGGAACGACTCTTTGGAATCGGTGGACTAGGGAGATAGACTAGACTAGCGACCGGCTGGCTCTGGCTGCCGACCCCGGGCACCGCTCCCCGCACGCCGGCTGCCGCGGCTGCCCCGGCCCCCGGCCCTAACAGTGCGCCGAGAGACGCTCCGCACCACGTGACTTCCTAGCGGTCCACGTGTGGTCACGGCGCCTAGAGCCCCGAAGGTGCCCGAAGGTGCCCGAAGGCGAAAGCCCCAAAGCCACGGCCCGATATCGAATGCATGGGAACGTTCCGAGGAGAGGGGCGTAGGGCGTAGGGCCCGTAGGGGCGTCGAAGTGAGACTCAAAATCCGGCATGGGGCACGTGCCTCGCGGACGCTCGCGGACGGCCCCTCGTGCTGTTGCTGTCTCTCTCCCACTTGGTCGGGGACGGCACCCTGTCGTGCTGTCTCCCTCGCACTCGCTCCGCGGCGCCGCGCCGTGTCACGATGACAAAGGAACCGGCGGCCTAGCTGCGCTAGCGCTAGCTGCCTGACGTTTGAAACTGGCGCCACGCGCCGACCAATGGGAGCCGCCGGCCGACACGGCCGACCAATCGGAGGCCGCCCCCCGGCCGGTCCGGCGCGGGAAGGGGAAGCCCGTGGAGGGGACGACCGGGACGGCAGTCACGTGTACGGCATCGTGAGCGGAGCGCGGAGCCATGAGAAAGAGAGAGAGAGAGAGACACAACATGTAAACGCCGTCTGCTACCGTTAGGACTCATGTGGCATGCAGCATGATCGACATCAAAACAGAGTTTCCCTACTAACTTAACCTCTCGCGAATAATACGCAGATGAGGCTGAAGGGCGAAAGGACTAGTTCGCTGCTCGAATAGTGGCTGGCGCTCGCCAAGCTGCGCTAGGTGAGCTGGTGACGTAAGGGTGTTGTGTGATTTTTGTTGCCAGCCGTCCTGTTACTGAATGCACAACGTAGTTTTTGGCGCATTGACGCGGTGCACAGCAATTCTAGGCCGCAATTAATTTGCGTGACACTTCGAATAACGCTGTGCATTCTGGTGGAACAGACTTGTGGTGCTGTTGTGTTAAATATCACCTTTGAGTGGAATATTAAAAGTGGGTTGTCTGGGACGAAGTTTCTCTAACTTAATTTTTTAAGGGATAGTTGTCTCCTTTTTATGACACTTTTAACACTTTATTTATTTGACTTTTCTGAAGTAATCTTTAGTGGTTAGTGAATGAGTTATTGCTTTCCGTCATTATCTTTTATTATTTATTCTGTACACTTATTTTGCAGGTCGTCCGACATGGAAGAAACAGATACTAATAAAACTAACCAGGTTTCGGATTCAGCATATTCTACAAGCTGTAATAGTAGATCCCAAAGAAGGTGTGTTTTTATACTTGAAAATTAAAGTTAAAAATAAAATTTCAATGACCAAAGTTTGTAAATTTTTATGTTTAAAACAGTAGTGGCAGTTCGAAATCTCGTAACAGTGGATCCAGCAATAGCAGTGGCTATGGAGGCCATGCATCCACTTTAGGCAGTGTGTAAGTGAGATGCATTACAGAGATTGATTTGAAATTTTGAAACACGAGAACCCATGGACTCTAACACATTTCTTGCACCATTCCTCCAACAGAACTGAGTTTACTCAACCTGCCACAAAACGAAACAAGGATAAGAAAAAGAAAGGTTCTCGGACAAGCTCTACACTACCTGCCCCTACTATTGAAAGATCAAAGGAAGATGAGGAATCTACTTGTATTGTAGGTAAAGTCCCTGAAATTCAACCAGAAGAAGCAGGGTCTGATAATAATGGGGTACGTTTGAAAAATCAAAAAGAGTTCAGGACAATTGCTACTTAAACAATTGCCAATTCAATGTGATTTCTTTTTCTCATAGAATGCGTCTAGTCTTGGGCTGGGCCCTGAATTGGTATTTGGTGGAATTGCATCGCCTCATGATAATGAGGCTCTCCAAATTGCTGCCATCAATCAAACACTCAGCTTTATCCAAAAGCTTAAGAGTTCCACAGAGGAACCAACTATATCATCTGGTATTTTTTCACTTTTAGAATTTTCTGTTTTAAGAAAAAAAAATTATTTGCTTATTTTATTAAATCTATTCTTTGTCTGACTGAATGTAGAAACTGTAGAGGAGAGAGAAGAAGAAGTCCCTCCTTCCACTTCAACTACTTTTCCACCGACCCCTGAAAAGACTAGCCGAACAAAGGAAGAATTTACTGCAATTATTTCAATGAGTGATGGCATTGTGAAGCATACCTCTACTGGGATTGTTGATGTCCTTGGTTTCCCTATTGATATGTGGGTAGGGAGGTCTATTACTGATTTTGTTCAATCCAAAGATCGAGCTGCATTTGCTTCACACATTACCTCTGGAGTGGCAAGTCCGCTTACCCAGGTAGACAAAGGTATGCAACTTCCATAACTAATGTTACATTTTCTGTTTATAAAATATTGTTCTAATTGTGTCTTTCTTCAGATTGTGGGCGCAGGTCACCATTTTTCTGTTGCTTACGCTGTTATCGAGGTTTGAAAAGAAGTGGATTTGGTGTCAAAGACAAGGCTGTTCAATATCGACCTTGTCAACTCATGTTGACGTTCCGAGAGCATCTGAATGGGTTCCCTCTGCCAGAAGAACCTAATTTCGATCATGGTGATACAGTATCAAACGCTGCTACTTCAAGTGGTGCAGGGAGAGAGCAGCCTCACATATACCTGGTGGTTACAGTCAATCCTATCAGCTCGGCATATACCTGTAAGTTGTGTCCCATGCTCATTTTGGTTGGTCATCCCCTTTCAGTAATTTTTAAAGATCATGAAATTATTCTTTTGCAGATCCAGAAGAAACTCAGGTTCTTCCCAAATTTGCTACTCGCCTGTTGGCTTCAACTCACCTTAGTGAGGTGGACCCAGAATGTGTTCCATATCTTGGATTCTTACCTCAAGATATGTTAGGTCGGTCTGTTCTAGAATTTTATCATCCTGAAGATATGCCCTTCATGAAAGATGTTTATGAAGCAGGTGAGTTTTGATGCTATGTTTTATGGTATTTTGTAGAAACATTTCTTTTGATTTTCCAAAATTCTTTCACAGTTATCAAAGAGCAAGGGATACCATTTTTGAGCAAACCATATCGGTTTCGTACTCAAAATGGTGGATATGTTCTGATGGAAACAGAATGGTCAAGTTTTAGTAATCCTTGGTCTCGTAAGCTAGAATTCATCATTGCACAACACAGGGTACTAAAGGTAAAATAGAAAATATTTTATTTTTTGATTGGTCTTGGGGCTTTGACTTTTCTCTCTAATCACTCGATCTATTTGCAGGGACCGCCAAACCCAGATGTCTTTGCAGCACCCCCTGAAGGTGATACTTCTGCACAAATGTCAGAGGAAGTCATGAAAGAAAGTAAAGTGATTCAAGAAGAAATTCAAAACATGCTAAATGAGGTAACAATAATATTTTTTTGAAACTGTTTATTTAAGAATTTTATTGGTTTGTTTGGTTGATCTTTGACTATTCTTGCTCCACAATTTTCTAGGCCATGTCTAATACAACCGATAATTCCAAGAAAAGAAACCTGTCGAAGAGGTGCAAAGTACTTGCCTCATTTATGGATTCAATGCTAGAAGAAAAAAAGAAGCCTGATTTACGCTTGGAAGTGCCACCTGAGGAACAAAGCTTTTCAGTGAGTTTTTCTTGTACCCATGGGCAAATTTTGGGTGGCTTCAAATTTATAACTGGGCAAGTTGAATTGTGTATATTTTTTATTTCTCTCTGTTGGAACAGGAACGAGATTCTGTCATGCTAGGGGAAATATCACCCCACCATGAATACTATGACAGCAAGTCATCCTCAGAGACTCCACCAAGCTACAACCAACTCAATTACAACGACAACATACAGAGGTGGGTGGGACCATCACTGCATATTTAATTAGTGGAAAGGACCCAAATAATAGTTACTTTCATCATTAACAAGGAAAAGTAATATTTTTTCCATAGTTTTCAGTAAATTAATCACTCCTCCTCTTATCTAGGCAAGGGTACGAATTGTGTGCTAGTAAAAAAAATGGTCGCTTGAACTCTTTATCCCAGATTTATTGGCAGAGTATTTCACATGTGTTGGTTGCTTTACTTTTGTTTCTGGCAAGGTTTTTCGAGAGCAAACCAAAGACTACAAGATCAGATGAGTTGAGTAAAGAAAAAAGTGGATCCCCTGGAAAAAATTCACCAGAGCAAGACTCCAGCCTTGGATCTGGGGACAGGTGAATATATTCCCATGTAATCCATAAATATTTAATAACAATTTAAAAGTAAAACTTAATGGTTTATTCTTTTTTTAGCGGAAGTGGTGGAGGAAGTGGGGAAATGACTGGTAGCCATGACAGTGCTACGTCATCATCTCACAATTCTTATCTGCAGCCAATGCTGACAGAAGCCCTCCTTACAAGGTAATAATCTATAGAAAAGAAAAGAAAATTCCAAATGTCACTGAATTATTAGGGTGTTCATGTGTATCTGTTTTGATCCCTCTAAGGCATAATGAGAATATGGAAAAGCGCCTTGTTCAGAGACACCGAGAGCAGCGAAGTAAGGGGGATAAACGAGACAAGTACCATAAAGCTATTGTAAGTTTGTTATCTTGCATCTATACTGCTCTTTGCAAATACTTTACCAGTAATGGTAGATTAATCGATTCCATTTTTATTTCAGCCTGGTGCTCATGCTAATCATGGTGTGAAGCGTATAGGATCCCAGTCTTGGGAAAACGATTCCTTCAAGGGAAGCAAGCACTTGCACGTTGAAAACCAGGGTGGAGCACAAACAGGCCAGCCCCCCAACCCTGGGACAGCAGCTCCTGTGCCAGTGACTGATGCCAGTGTAGCTAGCATAGCTAACATAGCACCTGTTGTGGTGACAAGCTGTGCAGCCACTACAACTGGCAATACTTCTACGACCACCATTCCACCCGCTCTCACAACGAGTATCCCATCAATGTACCAGAACTCAACAAATTCTGTTTGGCCTCCTTTTTCTGTCACCGTAACACCACTGCCATCATCCCAAGTAGTCGGGCCTTTTAAGTAAGTAAGAGAGGTAATTACATTGAAATATTTGTCTGTCTATTTTTTTCATCTGTAAATTAACTAACAAATGTAATTATTCTAGCTCTTATCCACTTGTGGGTGGCACTCATCCACACATGATGCCAATGTACTACATGGGATTAGGACCTCAAGAGCATCCTGGCCCACCTCATATTGCTACTAGAAATCCCTTCCTTCCAGCTCAAGCTTACATGCCAACAGCACCGAGCCCACACCGTAAGTTGAATCAACTCTATTGCAGCTGAAATACTAGGCACATAGACTGCGTCAGGCTGAAAGCTTCGTAGGTCAAATGGCTTCTTTTTATGTCTGTTTTCCGTTTTTCACCTTTATTTTCTTTTTAATTTGGTTGCAGTTCAGCTAGTTTACCAGCCTCTTCCTCAGTCTCTCTTATACTCCCCATTATCCATGCTTCATCCTGCACCCACCATGTTGCCTACATCCCTGTTTCCACCTGGTGCATGCCTACCTACTGAGCCTACGCAGTCCAATCAGTCACAATCCCAAGCTCAAGCCTCGACTCGATCTGTGGTGGGCCAAACGTCCCAACACGGTCAACAGCAACAACCGTTACAGCCAAACCAGCTGCTGCAGTCTCAACAACAGCAACTTCAACAGCAGCAACAGCAGCACATATTTCAGCAACAAAACCAACAACCCCAGAAACCCACAAATGCTGAGGTAGATTCCCAAAACCAGTAACCATAAGTTTATGGTGTAAATTTGTGATGTTAAAATTAAATTTATTCATGTTTTGATCATTTCAGAGTGGAAGTTGTCACATGCAATGTAAGTTTCAGCGGCCCCCTTCTCAAGCTACATCAGTCAAAGCTGAACCAGGTTCAGCTCTTGGTAGTGTTGCGTCGGCTTCTCGAAGGGTAAAATCTCTTTTGTGACTTTTATAGAAACTCCAGATAAAGTAGTTAAGAATTTACTCATGAAATTAAATTGCTGTTTTTTGTTTTTGCAGGCTTTATCAGTATCATCTAACAAAAATAAATCGTTATCTCCTTGTGACAATTTGAGTCCTGATGAGGACAAAGTTATGGAAGACAGTAATCAGTGCAGGTTTGTAAAGAAAATGAATATTTTGGAAGTTTTGTATTTTGTGATGACTGATTATTTTTCAACATTTTTTACAGTGAGCAGCGTGGGGATGAAGGCAGCTATTATTCCTCTTTGTGTTCATATTTATGTACAGATATAAATTCTGATGAGAGTATGAGAAGTTGCAAAGATGCTAGACATGAAGAAGTAAGTTTAGACAAAGACTGGTGTCAACCTGAATACCTTGCATCAGAAATCAATTTGTCCTTTGTACTTTTCAGGGCTGTAGTTGCTGGTCTCAGAATGAAAGTATAAGCAGTGATAGCAATGTTGCATCTTCTAAACCTAGACCTGTAAGATCTGTAAGTATATCCTCTTATGGATCTTTAGCTGCATGCTGTAAATGTGACTACTCTGTTTTTATTCTCCATACTTTATTTTGAAATTTTTAGGGTCCACCTCCTTGGATGGAGGGTGTCTCAATGACAACAGATGTGATTTATGGGTATCAGCTGGATAAGAAAGAATTAGATGATGTCCTATCTTCAGATCTATTGGCACTTGCCAAAATTGAACAACCAGCATTGGTTAATGAACAGCTAAACCAATTGTATCAGGATCTGACAATTGAAGGTGCATCTCCTCACCTGGCATTAGAGGAGGGCATTATTTCCTCAAGTGGAAGTAGTAGTGAAGAAATGCAATCAACATCACAAAAAATTATTAAGGTCATTTATTTTAATTTATTTTCTAATAAGCTGTGTTTTTACCTTATCTTTATTGTAATATTGATCTTATATTTTAGACAAAGAAGAAACGTCGGTCTCTGGAGTATGGACGTTTGATTATGATCTTTGAAGAGGATGCTCCGATGCCACCCCCCATCAGTACAGTCGCTACAGTGGCCTCTTGACCTGTATTTCAGTAGTTTGGAGGCTGTGCCTTTTCATTCACCACATGTGTCTTTTCCCTCGTATATTAAGAACAAACAGTGTTCATGACTGGTTTCATTTAAACCTTGAAATTCTTCTGATGTACAATTCTAATGCTGAATCAAATGGTAAAATAGTTTGCTCTCTTTTTGCAGGGAAATAAATTATTACCTGTATTTTGCTGGATTTGCTGACAAAAAGAGTTAACATTAGGAATTAGGATGAATATTTCAAAAAAGAATGTATTTTAGCTTTCCCTCAACACAGGGTGCGGTGGTTTCCAGAGATCTTTATTTGTTTCTGCATGGAGCGCCTTTTCTACTTTAACTTTGTACTCAAGATTTTATCCTTTGTTGCATTGTAGTCCATGAATTTTGTGTTTCCTATCACAGTCTATTAAGGCTTTTTAAATCATTTCTACTCCTATATTTGTAACTATTATCCAAATTTACGAAGAATTACTGTTTGAAATTATATTTATCCAATTTTGTTACTATGAAATCAAAACTTTTAGTTGAAGCATATCTTAAATTTATATTTGTGGATTGTGACCTCTTAATTTTGCTTGAAATACATTCCTTGTAGAGTTTGTAGTTATTGTGATCAGTATTTTATTATTTTGTACAGATATTTAATATTTTTTCCGTAGCCTAAGTAAAATATGGATGCAACTTTCAACTACTTCATTAAAGAAATGTGAAATGCATATTACACAGATGTTGACTTATTTCACATCCAGTTTCCCCCGAAATGGCATTCCCCAAATTTGGCGAGACGGCTAGAGTCTACTTGGGTCGGAGACGTGGAGTAGAGCCGGTTGAGTCCTAACTCACAGTCGGCTCCCGCAAGTGGACGTTCTCATACACGCACCTTCACAGCCTCGCGGCAACGCGAATCCGAATCTGACTTGGCGAGTGCGAGCAGGGGGCGGTAGGGAAGTGTCAGCGCGGCGCGAGAGATGGCGCTGCGGCAGGCGCACTTTCAGCGAGTTTCGATCCAGCAGAAGCAAGCCAGTCAAGCCGCTCTGGTTCGCCACGCTCAGTGCTATCCTAGTACTGCGTGGAGACCCAAGACTTCACCTCTTGTGCGCGAAGGTAAGTTTGAACTGAGTGAGCATGTGAGTCCTGTCACCTTGTCGATGGCGCTGGGCGGCTGGCACGCCCGTGACATGCCCGTGTTTCGGCCGGTCGCGCTCGCGGTCCGCGATTTGGGGGTGGGCAAGGCACGACACGGCCTCGGCGCCCATGGCGGGGCTGTTTTAACCTTACCCACGTGTTGACCGACGCCGTGCCCGACGCCGTGCCCGACGCCGTGCCCCAGCCCCAGAGTGGCGGGCCGCGGTCCAGGAGGCCCTGCGCGTCCACCAGCGTCTTTTGAGTTTGCCGTCCGCGGTTCGCCTCCAGTGTGCGGTGTGGTGCAATACGAGGAGCTCGGCCTTCTCGCGGACCGCCCCTCGACCCCTTCCGGCCTTACGCGCGCCCCCCGCCGAGGCCGCCGAGTCGGCGTTTCCTCCGGTGTCCGCGGCCACCGCGGCGTTGTGCTGAGGCGTGTCATTCTGCTGGACACCGCCACCGCCTCCGTCTCCGCCACCGCGGTGCTCCAGCAGGGTGTTGTTGTCGCCGTTCGACGCGGCACGGCCAAGGCTCACCCACCCCACCCCACCAGCTGCATTGTTTTCCCGCATTTAATGCTGGAGTGGTGTCGGGTCCGGTTTCTCTGGCTCGCGGGCCTTGATCCCCGAGCCTGGGGCCCAGGCCGCCCAGGCCCTGGGGCTGGGCGATGCACTACACGGCCACGCTGCCACGCTCGGCGTGCGTGGCCCCGCGGCCCCCGCGGCCCCCGCCCCGCCACCCCCTAGTAAGTCGCCACCCACTGCCGCGTCCCCCCCCCCCTCGCCGCTTCAGGGCCACCCCCTCCGCCCCCTCCAGGACCCGCCCCTGCTCTGCCTCTACCTGCCCCGTGATGTCGCCGCCGCACGTCACGGTCGTGACACGCGACGCGTGTGACGTCACTGTGACGTCGCCGCGGAACGTCGCAGTCACGATGCTGGTTCGAGGAAGCGACCGCTGCGACGCCATTCCTTGCCATGCACATTTTGTGCACATTTGGCTCGTTGCAAAACTCGATCCGCTGCGCTGCGGCAGACTGAGTCGGAGCGGAGCTTCCTTTCGTCGCTCTGTCTCTCTCGCACCCCAACGGAACGCCCCTTGAGAGCGAGAGAGAGACTGCTGATGGCACTGGCAGGGCTGTGGCGCAACATGCGAGGCAACATGGCGCCCTGGGGAGTGCACTGCAAAGTTCACGGAAGTGAAGCCATTCCTTGCCCTTTCGTGCACCGTCCGTTGCTGTGTGCTCCTCCTCGGCCGAAGCGTTTGCACCCTTCTCCCCCTCCCCCTCCCCATGCCCCGCGTCCGCCGCTGCCTTTCACCCCGAGGTGCCCCGATGCCTCACGTCTAGAGCGCTCTAGACGACTCCCCGCGCAGCACCCGCTGCCCCGCTGCCACGCTCCACGGACGTCTCGCTCGCGCTCCGCCACGGCGCCGCCCAGGGGGTCGTTAGCAACAGGTGCAGGCTGCGTGCAGCAGGGACAGCCGGGACAGCTCACTCATTCCGAGAGTCTCTCTCTGTCTCTCTCGCACTCACGGGGCGTCCCTTATGCGTGCGAGAGAGACACAGACGAAAACGACTCTCGGAATCCGCCTCCAGGGTAGCCAACCCAAACCGCGTCGTGGTAACGACCCCCTTTCCCTGCAGTGCTTGTCTCTCTCGCTGCCCCACGGGACGCCCCATGAGTGCGAGAGAGACAGGTCGACTCCGTGTTTCCCATCTCCGGGACGGAATCACATTATCCCGGGTCGATGCAGCTTGATGGCCAAGATGGCGTCGGCCTTCCCTTGCTCCGGGCGGGCTTGGCGGGCTGCAGCAGGTGGGCTGGGCGGCCGTCTCCCTGGACGACGAAGCGTGCAAGCTGGACGACTGGTTGTGGGGCGGCAAGTTTCGCTGGCTGGTGCTGCTCGCGCTAGACACCCCAGGCACGATGCACGCCTCTCGTTCTTTGAGCCCACCTTGCCCAGCCTGCCCGGTCTGCTCGCCTCGCAGCAGCCAGGTGCCGAGCTAACAGCCATCCACCTCGTGTCAAAAGGCAGCCTTTGCATAATCCGGCCTCCCCCTCCCCCTCCCCTCTTTCAGCAGCAGTGCTTTTCAACCGTCGCCGCCTCGTCGCCCTTTCCACCAGCCTCCCCTCCGTGTGGCCTTTTTCATTCGCAGCGACTCCGCCGCCCCCTCTCCATCCGACCGTGGAAAGGTATCAAGCAAAAAAGAAGTATTTCGAATGAGAAATAAAATGCGCGGAGCCGGAGAATTTTAGAAATTTTTCCTGCGTCGGCCGAGAGTGACCGTGAATTGTCTTGTCTAGACTTTGTTTCGTCCTTTTCGCAAGGCGGAGGATCTTTTTCGGCGCAGCGCTGCGTGCAGACGCGGCCTGTATGCACTGATTCCGAGAGTCGTTTTCGTCGCTCTGTCTCTCTCGCACTCATGGCGCGTCCCGTATAGGTGCGAGAGAGACAGAGCGACGAAAACGGACTCTCGGAATGTCTGCTGATGTGGCCGCACCCCATTTCCTCCAGCGGATCCCGCGAGCTCCTTATCTACGGGTCGCTCGGGAAGGCTGCAGAGAGGGGGAGGGGGAGGGGGGAGGGGGAGGGGGAGGGGGAAGGGGGAAGGAACTCATAGCGCAGCCAGATCCCTTATCCGCGGCAGCAGCGGCAGCGCAGGTGCAACGACCCCATCCCCGAGTCAATTTGGCTGCGACACGCCCGCCCCGCCCCGCCCCACGCGTCGACGTCGGGGTGAAAGTACTTACCCGCCGTGCCGCCGTGCCGCGCCACCGCGAAAACTGCCGCACTTTGTTCATTCCGCGCCATTCCCCCGTCAGGACCAGCACGGCCTGCAGGCGAGAGGAGAGAGAGAGAGCGCCTGCGGAGTGGCGGGTAGGCAACGCGGCCGGAGTGGCGCGTGGCGGCCGCGCGGGCCTGCCTACCCGCCGCTTCGCAGGCGCTCCGCGCTCCGCGCTCCGCTCCGGGAAAGGGAAAGCCGTTCCCAATGCCGAAGAGCAAAAACAAAAACATAAACAAAAACGGGGAAAACGTGGACGAGAGGCTTCGCAAAGAGAACAGGGAGGAAAAGTCTGAATAGGAGACCCCGTCTCTCGCCGCCGTCCAGATCAGAGCCAGGCAATTCGCGCTGAAATTTGCTAATTGGATTGAGCCGCCCCGCGCGCGCTCGGCAGTGTCGCTCTGTCTCTCTCGCTCTCGCGGGGCGTCTGGTAAAGTCGTGCGAGAGCGAGACCGACGGAAGCAGTGTCCGGAATCGGACAGGGACGCAACAGGCGTTCTACGCGCCAATCGCGAGGCTTCTCGAATCATCCCCGTCCGCGGCTCCGCGGCGCTCGTGACCCAGTTCCCCCGGTTCCCCCCTTCGCACCGTCCGAAACACAAACAAAACAACAACAACAACAAGAGAGCCGATCAATGATGCATCCGTTATTGCGTCATCGACCTAAACCGAGGAGCCAAGGCGAGCCAAGGCGAGCCAAGGCGTTACGTCGTGCTTCTGGCTGCTGGAGCCGCGAACATTGCGTCATGGCGGTCATGTGGGGCTGCAGCGGCGGCGGGGAGGGCTGCCTGTGGCTGCCTGGGCCGAAAGCATGGGCCGGCCTGGGCCCGGCCGGGCGGCCTGGGCCCCATCTGGGGTCGCCGCGTCGCTGCCGCGCATGGCGGCGCGCAGCCATGTGACGAATGGAGCGGATGGTTATTTCCCCTCATGAATAGAAATTACGCTCCGCTGGCCGACCGCCCCGATAGACACGCCGTGTCATTCATTACTGCAGCAATTTGCCCCCCGCAGCAAGGTGCTGGTGCTGAGACCGGCCGGGCCGGGCCGGGGAGGGGGTGGTTTACACCGCGAGAGAGGCGCTCGAACCGGGGCCCCGCCGTCGTGGTGCACCGAACTGTCTCTCTCGCTCTCGCGGGGTGGGCTGTAGGGGTGCAAGGGAGACGGAGCGGCTTGTGTGTTTCTTCGGGGGATCGCGCTGATTGTCTGTCACGCGAGTTGTTTGTCGCGTCGCCGGATTCGGCATTCGGCGACGCAAAAGACCGGCAGGGAGGCTTGGGGCTTGGGGGCGGTCGAAGGTTCGAAGGTGGGCGACGTGTGGAGGAGGGGCGGCTGGGGCGCGCCGGGGCGGTCGGGGCCGGCACCGCGCCGTCGGCATTGCCTCAAGACACGTCAAGGACGTCTAGGACGTCTAGGACGTCAAGGTCGCCGAGCAGAAAGACGCGGTGGCGGCCTGCCTGTGGCTCGGCCGGCGGCGCTACCGGTGTGGCGGCAGTGGTGCACATCCCGATCGCGCTGCGCGGTGCTGCGCGGTGCTGCGCGGTGCTGCCCCGGGGGCCGAGGCCGTGCCAGCCATCAACATGAACGCCTTCGCATGCACCGCTGCCTTTTAGATTCGACCCAATTCGCTGCCAGAACGGCTGTCGGCGTCTCCGACTCGGCCTCGTTTACGTCGTGGTGGTGCGGCTGCCGTAGCGCGAGGGAAGGCGACGGCAGCGTGCGCGCGGTGCCTCGCAGCTCCAGCAGTAGGCTTCCATAGAGTCCCGGTCACTAAAGAAGAGAGCTAGAAAAGGGGGTGGGGTGATTACTTCGATCGCTCTCTTTCCCTCTCACTGGATGCGAGCCAGTCAAGGTCCTCCCCCCTCCCCCTCCCACCCTGGCGGGCTTGCGGGGCTGGAGGAGACAGGGCCCCGCGGAGCGGGATCAGCGTGGAGCGGAGCGGAGCTGGGTGGCGGCGGGGCGCGGCGGGGCGGCGCGCAGGGCCCTGCAGGATCGATGTGGTAATTGAGGGAGGGTCCGGAAGAGAGTCCGTGCGTGAGGCTGTGCTGTGCTGTGCGTGAATGGCTGCCGGACAGGCGGACGGACAGGCTGACAGACAGGTGCGTGGGAGGCCCCAGGCTGGGCGCCGTCGCCCCCCTCGCGTGCGGGCAGGCAGCCCGCCGAGGAGGTGTCCGCGGCCCTCGGCGCTCTCGGCCGCGCCGCCGCGCCGCCTCGCGCTGCCCTGCCCCCTTCGCGGCGCGCGGCTGCTTCGCGTGGCTTCGCGTGGCTTCGCGGCGCGACGGCGGGGCGCGGGTACCCAGCGCAGGCGCCCACCCGCCCCCCTGCCACCAGGCGGCCAGCGAGCGCAGGAGGTTGCCTGCCGCCCCGCCGCGCGGCGCCGCGAACAGAGGCTCAGAGAGCCGCGGTGCCGAGCCGAGCCGAGCCGAGCCGAGCCGAGCCTGCGCGGGGGTGGCCGAGCCGGGCCGAGCCGAGTGGAAGGCGCAGTGGAACGCCCCGCCGCGGAACGCCGCGCCGCAGAACGCCCCACGCCGTTCCCCTCCGCGCCGTGGCCCTTCTTCGTGTCGGCCAGCACTCTGGCGCCAGCCGGTACTCAACGGGGTGCGAAGCAGAGCAAAGCAGTGCAAAGCGCCGCGGTCACGAAGTCTCGGCGGCAGGCAAGGGAAGAAGGACAAGCTTTATCGCCGATTTGCCGGTCGTACGGAGGAGTGCTCCGGAGAAGGCGGCGAAGGCCTCGGCGAAGGCCAAGCCCGTGGAGTGGGTCGTTTGACGAGCCGCGCAGCCGCGCCAACAACAGTGCTTCCGTTTTTTATAACTATCGATTCTATCGTGAAAGCGTCCCAGTCTCTCCTCTCGCTCTCTCCATAGACTCCTCGCCTGGCTGCCGCCGCTGCCGCCAAGCGTCATGTTCTTGTTTAGTTTTTGTGGTTGGTGTTGTCGACATGTATTTGTGGGAGCCAAGTTTGGGCACGCTGTCTCTGCCGCTCAGCTTGACAGAGACAGACACTCCCCCATCGATTTCCCATTGCCGCGCAGTTCCGTCCGGTCTCGATGCGGCGACCTCTCTCTCTCCCGCATGTGTTTCCGCCAAACGGTGACCTTTTGCTTTTGCTCTTTCGTTTCAAATCTTTTCTTCTTTATGACATTTCAGATGACGAACTTCTCGAGGAAAGCGAGCAGCTCGTCTAATCACCACGCCTCTGTCATCGCATCTTAGCGAAGACTCCCAGCACCAACACCACCACCGCCAACTACACCTCCTCCACCACCAAACACCACCACCACTCGCCAACTACACCGTAAGAGAAGTCGCGGCGCGGACTCGCAGAGTCGTCTCAAAGCGTGGCGCCTCACTGACACCGTTCTCTGTTTGGCAGCGAGCAGCAGCCCTCCGCACGCCCCTCCCCTCCGCAGCCGCCGCAGCCGCCGCACCCCGCAAGGTAAGACCGCCCGGCCCGGCCGTCTCGTCGCTTGCCGCGTCCACTGCCGCGTCCCAGAGCCGCGTAGAGCACAGTCAAGTTGAGGCGAACCTCGCGCTGCAAACTCGCCATTCGCCACTCGTCGGCTTGTGCTGCCCATTGCTGCCCATTGGCCCGCCTTCACGTCGATAGAGGCTGACCCTTGACCCCTGGCTGCCCGCCTGGCTGCCCGCCTGGCTGTCTGGCGCGCGGTGGCTGCCCGTCTGGCCCTCCAGGCCCCTTCCAGGCCCGTTCCCCCGGAGCCCCCCAGAGGGCATGGGTGTTTCGGCGAGTCGCGCGCTGCCCCTCACTCGAAGGCCAAGGCGTCACCGCGACAGTTTGGCACTCATCCCCGTGCATGCCGAGGCAAGCACTTTGACCGGCGTTCGAATCCCCGCTCGAGCTCATCTCTTTTTCCGCTCCTTTTCTTGCAGACAGAACCGGCCGGTTGCAACGACTCCTCCGTGACTTGAAGCAGTTGCCGGCCAGCCCGCCGCTCCTCCTCGCCGCCTCCGCGCCTCGTCCTCGTCCAGCCGGCCCTCGCTCAGCACCGCCTGAGCACCCGGCCTGAGCCTAGCCGCTCGCAGGCGGTGCAGGCCCAGCAGTGCCATGGGGAAGTCACCGCGCCCGCCCCGAGCGCCCTCCGCGGCCAAGCTTCGGACTGAAACGGGGTAGTGGGCCCTGCCGCGGGGCCCCGCCAAGCTCTCCAGCCCCGCGGGGGTGCAGGCCCTGCAGGCCTCGGCCGCTCGTGTGCGCATCTGTGATAATGTATTAAAGTTGTACCAGAGTCTATTTTTGGCACGTGTGTCTGAGAGTGTGTATGTCTTAGTTAGCGTAGGGAGCGGGTGGAGCGAGAAAGGGCTATTTTAACGGTGTGAATGAGTAGTGCCAGTGTGAGGGTTTAGGAATAAAGGGGGTTTACGTTTAAGTCCGGCTGAGGTGATTTTTTTTTTCGGTGGTCGCAAATACTCGGAGAGAGTCCATCTCTGTCGTGCATGTCTCAGTGAGGGTAGAAGGGACAATGATCGAGCCGTACGCGCCTGAGATGCTATGGCTCATCATCGTGGGCTTCTTCGTGGCCTTCGTCTTGGCGTTCGGCATCGGCGCCAACGACGTGGCCAACTCGTTCGGCACCTCCGTCGGCTCCAAGGTGCTCACCGTGAGGCAGGCCTGCGTCCTGGCGACCATCTTCGAGATCGCAGGCTCCGTCCTCATAGGTGAGTTTGAGTTGGGGGTTCCCACTCGCAACCTTGGGTGCGCCCAGTGCGAGCGCTCCACCCCTCCAGCTTCCAGACTTCCAGGCGGAGCGCCTGCAGCCGACGGGGTAGGCACGCCCGTTACGCTGACGTGTCGAGCGTGTTGCCTATCCCCGCTCCGCAGGCGCTCTTGCAGCAGACTGATTCCGCACAGCATTTTGTCGCTCTGTCTCTCTCGCACTTGTGGGCCGTTCCGCATGGTCTGTCTCTCTCGCACCCACCCGGAACGCCCCGAACGCGCGCGAGAGGCAGAGCGACGCAAGAGAGCCTCGCCTCAAGCCTGTCTGTGTGTTGTTGCGCCAGGCTACAAAGTGTCGGACACCTTGCGCAAGGATCTGCTGGACCTGTCCATGTACGAGGATGACGAGTACGAACTGCTCCTGGGGTGTCTCAGTTCACTCTGTAAGTAGCCAGATTTTTACTTCTCTCCCATTTTTGTTTTGAGCTGTGCTGAACTTGACGCTATCTGCTGCAGTGAGCAGTGCCCTGTGGCTCCTGCTAGCGACCTTCTGCAAGCTGCCCATCTCAGGCACCCACAGCATTGTAGGGGCCACTGTTGGCTTCTCGTTGGTCTGTCGGGGCACCCAAGGCCTCCGCTGGACAACACTGGGGATGATTGGTAAGCATATTTCTCGAAAACAAGATGTTTTTTCATGGATTTGTTTTTCAATGAAAGTGTTTCCTTTTGTTGCAGTGGCGTCATGGTTTATTTCCCCAGTTTTGTCTGGTATGGTTTCAGTGGCCTTTTACAAGGTGATCGATAATTTCATTCTACAAGCTTCCCAGCCTTTTAAACCAGCTCTGAGGGCAATGCCTCTGTTCTACGGTTTCACTGTTATTGTCAATGTGTTTTCCATAGTTCATAATGGGCCGAGATGTAAGTATACATGTGCCACTCTCGTCAGTTCCAGTTCTTATCACAGAAATTTATTATTGTAATACACTGTATTTTTGTTGCAGTGTTTCACTTCGATAAGATCCCATTATGGGGTGCACTATTGGCAAGTTTTGGGATTGGAATCTTTGTATCTTTAATGGTACAAATTTTCTTGGTACCTTACCAAAGGAAGGCCATCTTGGGGAGTCTTGGTAAATAATTACTTACAAATACTGTACCTATTCCTTAAATGTTTGTTTCTAACTTTAAGCAATAACAACAAATAATTTGCTTGTTTCAGATCAATCACGCAAAGATCGAAGCCGAGGAGTTAGCTTTACTTTCGGAGGATCAACAGATTCTTCAAGAGATCCGAGCCCTAGACCATCAAGGAACATGTCAGCAGAGGATCTTCATCATTCTTCTTTGCCTATGATAAAAGAAGGAAATGAACTCTCTATGCCTTCCAATAATGAAGCGGCCCCTTCCACTCACAGTGCTCAGCACACTTATAGGTAACTTAATCTTCTAGAATTCTTCTGGAATAAATTTTTTATTTTGTTTCTGAATGTCTATTGTCCATCAGATTCAGCATTGGAAACACCACAGCAAAGGCTAATGGCTATTCACTGGCCGAAACAACTTTAAACAATGCACTGATAGTAAGTCAGAAAGCACTTGTAGTTAATTATATTTCCAGTACATTCTCATACAGGTCTCATACACGTCCCGTGTATTTATTATGATAGGAACTGAACCTTTCTTTTCTTTCTAGGGAGGCTCAGAGACCCAGAAAGGTACTGACCGTCAATTGGGGCTGCCTGGGAGTGGCCAAGTTACTCCAGCTTATGGTAAGCCCATTAATTTGCTTGGTCAAGTTAGAATTTGTGATGAACATCAGTGTTTAGAAAAAGTGTTACAATTTTGCAGGGCTTTCTCCGAACAGCAGTGCTGTACCTTTGATCAGAGAAAAGTTGCCAGAGTCTTTGGTATGTAATAAAAAGTTATCATAATGTTATCAATTTCTGTAAAATGAAAGAAATTTTTATTTTCAAATGTAATGTTTCATTTTTAGAAACTGATGGAAGAGGGTGGCAATGGCAAGGCGTCCGGAGTTGATGATGAACCTGTAGAAGTTGCCAAGACTTTCTCATTCCTTCAGATTCTTACTGCTATTTTTGGTTCTTTTGCCCATGGAGGAAATGATGTCAGGTAAGACGCGTAGACATTTTTGCCCCATTTATTTTCTTTCTGCACAAAAGTTTGAATTGTGGATTCCTTTTTCAGCAATGCCATTGGTCCTCTTATAGCCATGTGGCTAATATACCATGATGGCTCTGTACGCCAAGCTTCTGAGACACCTCTGTACATCCTCCTCTATGGTGGACTTGGAATAACAACAGGATTGTGGCTGTGGGGTAGGAGAGTCATACAAACAATTGGGGAAGATCTTACCAAAATAACAGCCACTGAGTAAGTTTTGTGAAAATTGGAGATTTTAATTAAGCTGATTGGCTTTTATAAATTATTAGTTTTTTTAGTCGAAGCCCCCTTAAAATCTTGTGTGCATTTACAGGGGATTCACCATTGAAATTGGTGCTGCATTTACAGTCCTCCTCGCGTCCAAAATAGGGATTCCAATCAGCACAACACATTGTAAAGTAGGGTCAGTTGTGTTTGTTGGTCTGGTGTCCTCCTCTTCATCAGGTGTTGATTTGAAATTATTTCGGTAAGTAACCTGTTTGTTCTTGCTAGGTGTGAATTGAATTTGTTTTCCTTTCTCGTATGAATAAATTTCATCTTTTTATTACAGGAACATTATATTTGCTTGGCTGGTGACAGTGCCAGCAGCAGGTGGATTAAGTGCCCTCTTTATGTTTCTGTTCCGTTCATTCTTACTTTAAACTGCATTTGGTGACTGTCTATACTTCTGCTCAGCTCTGCTACTGACTTCTGCTCACAATTATTTCCAAAGTCTGTCACTTGCTTTTCTGATTGTATCAGTTTCATGTTTATGAAAGAAGCAAACAATTATGGTTTACTTATGAATGTATTTCAATTGTGTTTTGCTGTTAAGAGTCACATTCGGGTCAATTTTGTTTTCAAGAGAGGAATAACATTGTCTCAGCACGAAACTGGTTAAATGTGGAATGGAAATCCCTTAACTAAAACTTCTTGTTATGTGGATCTGTGAAGAATATGACTTATGGAAAGCTGCTAATACACTACTTATCTGCAATGAGCCTCTAAAAAAAATAATTAAAACTAAATAGTAGTATCCCATTTTGCTCAGCCTCTGTCCAAGGCATAGGGGGATTCTTTTGAATGTTTAGTCGTTCTTCTAGAATAATAAATCTGTGTTTGATTGTTAAAAGCTGTTACTTGTCACATGTTCACCAGACAAGGAAGTATATATTGTATAGCCATTATGGAATGTGTTGTCTTGGAGAAAGTTGTAACTATTAGATTTTGCAGAGCTTTACCCAGAAGTGATTTGTTTGATTTGCAGTTATGATCCATCCTTTTAAATTCTTAACAAATTGTACCATAGATGCATATTTGTTGGTTTACATTTTTCTTAACAATAAAATACAGTAAAAGCTAGTTGGTTGCATGACCAATAGCTGGTTTTCAGTTGTATGCATCTAAAACTCAGCTTTCTTAAAGTTAAAATGATCTGTAGTATCATCTTGAGGCCATATTTGAATACCATTGAATTTTGGGTTGACCCACAGCAGCAACTATTCTTCATAAAAGTCCCAACTCTCCTTCCTAGACAAATTATTTTTAAAAAATTGTATGAGAGAACTAGGGTAAAGACTTAAAAGCACCTTTTTGACCATAGCACTTCAAAATCCTGTTGTCAATTTTCCTTTGTTGATATGAGTCACTGGACTTTCACTGTTGATTGCATCACACTTTTCCATAAATTACTATCTTGGTCAATTTAATTGTGATAATTTCTGTTTTGAGTTGATCATCAGAGGAAGTTGGGACATGTCCACAAGTTGGATGTGACTATTTGTTCTTTTTTCATAAACTAAGCTTCAGATACTTGTACATTCTACCACGTGAACTTTAGATTGTAAAATTAACTAACCCTCCATATAGAATGCCCAGAGTTGTGCAACTGCGGTGTATTTGAGTTTTTGTAGGGAAAAAATGAAGTGTCCTAGGATGGTTACTGTCCTGACAGTTACATTTGTTGTTCTGATGCCAAAGTAATGGTTGTCAGATTTTAAGACAGGCTGATCTGAAGTAGGGTCCTCAAGATTAAGGACTCTAACCTGAAGCATGCCCTTCTGTCATTGTGATTATTCTTTCTATTCCATGGTGTTAAGCATCTCAAGATGGAAATGAAAATGTACTGAGTAGAACTGAGAAAATAAATATGGTGATGGTTTAATAAACGTTTTCTTGTTTAATTTAATTGAAACACAAAGATCCCTTTGAATGCTTGAATGCCCTAGGCATTCTGAACATCAGTGTTCATCGCATTCTTTAGTCAGAAATTAATTTTACACCTCTACTCTCCGTGGTTTTACTCAGAACATAGCAAGCTTATGCTTCATTTTAAAGAGAGAAAGTATGAAAAATTTTGTAAAAAGATTTACAAGTTACACGCAACATGGCAGTTTAAAATTGTTACAAGTGGAGAGTAACAAGCGAGCAGAGTTCTACTCTCCACATACACACATAGACACACAGAATAAAACATATGGAATGAATGATTGATTTTTCTCTTTTTACATAAATTAAATGGAAAGATCTAACCAATACAAAATCTAGGAAGTTGGTTGCCGAACAGCCTGAGGGAGGCCACAGAATGAGTAATACTACAAACTACTTTATCACCCTCTTGAGTCATCATATAATTGCTTAAATGGCAACATACTTTCTTAGAGGTAAATTACAAAGTCAAATCTTGTAGCACAAAGTCTTTAAAAATTGAAAACGCTCACATAAAAGAAGAACAAAGGACAGAAAAAATATTTTGTTTAGACCGGGGGCACCATTGAGTGACAATAGAACATTATTCAATAAATTAAGCAAAAAAGACTAGCACAAAAGTCTAAAATAACAATTTTATCACTTAACTGACTCCATATTTTAACATGAATATAATTGACAACAGAAACAAATAGATAAACAACAAAAATATTCAAGCACATTGACTGCAAATGACAGTTCTTGTGAGATACTTTAGCCAGATTGAGTAACAGTTTCACAGACATAAAAAATAGGTGATTGCTCACTTGCCAAGTCCATATACAAGCTTATTGAGACCATGGGCAAAAATTTCCATTGGCAGTATATATAACACCCCCATCAAATCTCAAAAAGAGAACAAAATAAATTAGAGGGCTAGATTTTACAGCCTTTTACAATGATGTTTCAATCTGAAGCTTTTTTCTTAGGCTTGCCTCTTTCTTCCTCCGCTGTAACCATCTCATCCAGGAGCATAAATGCGCGAGTAAGCTCTTTCACAATACTATTATAGCGTTGAAACAAATCTTGAGCTTGCTCATTTAAAGCCTCAACACCCTGAACGCTGTCTATGGTGATCAAAGTCAATTTTTCAAGCTGACCTGAAAGTCCAGAAACTGCTTGCATACTGCTGATGGCATTCTGGTTGTCCAGGACATTGGAGACGAGTCTTTGGGCCTGCTCCAGGTTAGACAAATCCTGACGAAGCTCTTTTTCTCGAGCCAAAATAATCTGACAGAAATAAATGAGTGTTAATACTCTTATAAAACTGAAATAGGCAAAATATTAATTTCAGAAACGTGTACGGAAGAGTAGCATTATGAGTAAACCTACCTCCAGTTTTGCCTCACACGTCATTGTTGAGTCTTCAAATGTAGGATCCATGTAGCGGTTTAATTCACTGATTCGCTGCATAACAGCAAGAGCTTTCTCACGCCCTGACAAAGCGGAGTTCAAGAGCTGACTGGCATGCGACAATGCTTCCAGGAGTGGAAGTTTATCTGATGGTCCTCGCAATGATGAGGAAGCAGCTCCACCATTTCCCAGAACTCGCTGCTCTAACTGAGAAATGCGGTCATCCAAGAGATTCAGGGGATCCATGGTGAACGCTGTGAAAAACATACGAAAAAAAAGATGGCCATCTCACAATCTGATATTATTTTCGACAGGTTGTAGGGCCAGGTCCAAAACCATTTTTGGAGCTTGAAGAAACCCATAACCTAAGCAACAGCCTCGACTTGGAGAAATCATAACATGAGTACAATGAATGAAAATCTCATTACCTTGATCCAAAAAGAACAGCCGTAAGAAGGTGCAAGAGATAAAAGAGTCTTTGTAAACTATCAATAAACTAATTAGAGCCAAATGTTATGGGTAGGATTGGATTTGACAGCAAACTGACAGTCGCCATTAAACAACCCATTCATATTCGTATTGAAGCGGCAGTTGGTGTGTTGCGAGACTAAAGATGAAAACTGTAATTTTCGGAACAGAGCAGAAGCAGAAGAGATGTCAACGTAAACGTAAACAGCAGCCGGTACAAGTAAATGCGCTAAAATGGGAGCTTCTGATTATGTGTGGGGTAAAGTAGCATTTTGCCCCGAGTTTCGTGAAATTAAGTATTTTTAGTTGTCCATTTAGTTAAAATGGACCATCCAAAATGTTCACAAGAATGCCGAAGTAGTTCCAAAGAATGGGACTCAGCATTTCCTATTTCAGGTGAGGTCTAGCATAAATTTTTGTCTAATAATGTTTTATTTGTTGCCTCATTGTATGTACCCCTCAACTTTAACCAACATGAACAATTCTTTCAGCAATTTCATTGAAGGTTTCTGCATTGGTTGTGTTCATTATTGGTATCGTCACATTCAGTAACTCATTGAACGGACAGTTTGTTTTTGATGATTCTGAAGCTGTATTAAACAACCAAGATGTATTAACTGAATCACCACTATCAAATATTTTAATAAATGACTTTTGGGGTACTCGTCTTACGCTCAACAAAAGTCACAAATCGTATCGCCCCATCGCTGTTTTGACTTTCAGGTGATTAATGAGCTTCAAAGCATCTAACATTGTTTCATGTTTATGTCTGCTACCTGAATCAAAAACCATTATTCATGTTTTGCAGATGGAATTATTGGATTGCAGGTGGTTTGCACCCATTTAGCTTTCATGCCACAAACATTTTGCTTCATGGAATTGTGTCTGCCCTTGTAGTCCCAGTGACGAATGATATGTTTGGAGGAAATGCTCCTCGAATGGCTTTTATAACATCTCTTCTGTTTAGTGTCCACCCCATCCACACCGAAGCTGTGAGTACATTTTAGTCTGAACTGGCACCAACATTTCGTTTTGTAACTAAAATGTAAAATATTTTTGCTTTTAGGTAGCAGCAATTGTTGGAAGGGCCGATCTACTGTGTGCTTTCTTCAGCTTCCTCTCCTTCCTCACTTACTCAAAAGCATGCAAACTGTCTATGCAGTCAACCACATTAGAGAGTGTTGTTTATCTTATAATCTCATTACTTTTGTGTACTCTGGCATTATTCAGTAAAGAACAGGGCATCACGATTCTGGTTGGTATACTTCAATTCTAGCCTGGTTTTCTTTAGAACCATTGCTTCGAAAAAATTAACACGAGTTTGATCTTCCTTTCAGGCAATTTTTCTTGCATATGATGTACTTATACTTCATAGAATCAATGTGTTTTTCCTTCCTGTATTTGCCTTGAGCTCCCTGTTCTCTTGGCCTTGTGGGAATTTTAATGCAGACAGCAACACAACAATGTCAAAAATCTCCAAAAGAAAAGAAGACATGCAACATCTATTCAAGAAGCCCTTTCTAACACGTTTTTCAGCCCTCACAGTGGCAGGCGTGCTTTTGATGTTTGTACGATGGCGAGCCATGGGTTCAAAGCCTCCAATTTTTCAGGAAGTGGATAATCCTGCATCATTTGCGGAGAATTTTTGGACTAGGGTAAGTGACTTTGCTCCTTATGTTTTGTGGAATCAATTTCTTTGATACTAATTTGATTATTTCTTGCACTTCAGGTGTGGACTTACAACTATTTGTACAGCCTTAATGCTTGGCTTCTTGTTTGTCCAGAGTGGTTGAGCTTTGACTGGGCCATGGGATGTGTTCCATTGCTTTCTCATGTGTATGATATCCGTCTCTTGGCCATTACAGCATTTTGGGCATCTTTGCTTTCTTTGTTGTGGTGTGCAATAACTTCTTCGGACAAAAAAAGTGGAAGGTAAGCAAATAAATACTGTCATCTGACCATTTTGATGTTTCATAACTTGACAATTTTTTGTCTTGTGTGCAGGGCTGTGACCATGGCTTTGGCAGTATCAATTATTTCTTTCTTACCAGCATCAAATTTATTTTTCCGTGTTGGTTTTGTCTTGGCTGAACGAGTCCTATACCTACCATCATTGGGATTTTGCATGCTAATAGTCTTAGGGTTGCGATCTATTTTCCTGACAAGACCACAGTATAACCAGGTAAGTTTTACTTTGTACCCCTTTATCATTTCAACTAATCAATAGAAACTATAAAAATCGAACATTGTGATTCCAGGGTATCATGGCCGCCTTTAGTTGCATTCTACTCCTGTTCTTTATTCGCTCTATGCAGCGCAGTGGTGAATGGCTTGAGGAGTATACTCTGTTCCAGTCAGCTCTGAGAGTTTGCCCTCTGAATGCTAAAGTTCACTACAATGTTGCAAAAAATGCAGGGGATAGGGGAGACACAGCATTAGCTGTTAGAGAATATAGAGTTGCTCTCAAATTGCACCCTGAATATGATCAAGCAATGAACAATCTGGCTAATATATTGAGAGATCAGGGAAACTTGATTGAAGCAGAATCCCTTCTTAGGAAAGCTCTCAAAATCAGACATGATTTTGCAGCAGCTTGGATGAATCTAGGCATTGTTCTTGCTAGCATGAAAAGTCATAAGGAGGCAGAGTTCTGCTATTCTCAAGCACTTTTCTTCCGTTCTCACTACCCAGAGAGCTTCTACAATCTAGGCAACCTTTATCTAGATCTGAAAATGCATGACAAAGCACTGAAAGCATTTCAGAATGCAGTCAAACAAAAACCAACATTCTCTATTGCTTGGAACAACATGGTAATCATGTTAGAAAACTTGGGTATGTGTGATTCTCTGAAACTACTTTGAGATTTTTTTCTTTATATCAGCAATGTGACCTAGTATGATTTTTCAGGCAAGTTGATGGATGCCAAAAGTGTTGCATACGAGGCCCTGTCTGTACTACCTCATGACCCTGGATTACACTTCAACCTTGCAAACACACTTGGCAAAATGAGTCTTTTCCCATCTGCAGAAGAGCATTTCAAGAAGGCTCTAAAACTGGTTCCCAATAATGCTGTTTATCATTCGAACCTGGGTGTCTTGTATCATCGATGGAAAAAGTATGATCTTGCTGAAAAAAAATACAAAGATGCTCTCAAACTTGATCCACTGCTCAAAAGTGCTGTGACTAATCTTGCTATGTTACGGAAATCTAGAAATCAATAGGGCTTAGCATAATTTACTATAAAATGTGTTTTTGAGAGGTCTTGATCCAAGTCCAATGTATTTTTCATGTCAGATCAGGAGCTTTCTTTGTTGTTGTATTAATTTATTTAAACAAAGAAATTTTTTAAAACTTTTTCCTATTTATATTTTTATAAATCATTTTGACTTATTATCCATTATAAAGTAAAATCTAGAACTGATATAAACAATGCTGACAGATAAAAAAAGACATAACAATCGAAATAACATAAAAAACATAAAATCTTTCGAGGACAGTAAAAAATTTGTTCTGCTCATAATTCAGTCTTTCTTGGCCCTTTTCTTTTTGGCATTATCGTCTTTCTTCCTCCTCTTTTTGGCTTTCTTCTCATTTTCCTCTTCATCCTCAGGATCGAAATCACTGTCTCCACTACCCATGGAGTCTGAAGTAACAAAACTGTCATCTGACTCACTGCCTTGCCCAGGTTTATAATCCTCTGAGCTGAAGCTATCGTTGAAATCCCCCTCATGGTCTGATGGAATGTCTTGTAAATCAGCTGTTGATAAATAAAATAGTTACTAAGAAGACTAGAAAGAAATAAGTTCAATTTACAGAACACTGCAGTAGTAATAAATTTACATACAAGGCCGCGCTTTCCGTTTGTGAGGGGCATCATGTCTAAAGTCACGTCGATGCTGTGGGTTCTTGCGGTAACATGCTGTACCATACTCGCACAAAGGCCGAACGTCATTAGCAGGTGAGCCACCAGTAGAAGAAGTGGCTGAGCCGCCAGCATCAGAGAAGTCAGCATCACCTGGATGGGCAAAGTCTCTTCGATGCTGAGGGTTTTTCCTGAAAAGTCAACAGTCAAAGTAAGTTCAGGTTTAGGCCCTGAAATGAATAAATGCTTTGTAGATGACTCACCTGTAACAGGAAGACCCATAGAAACAGGACTTTCGAGTAGCAGGTGGTGAGGCCATTCCATTAGTTACTAGAATGGGATCATTTATAGTATCCGCCACCGTAGTTCTAGTTGTGTCAGGTGTGACTGATCTTTTAGGAGAGGAAGTTCCTTCATCGTCATGATTGTCTTCTACGATTGCACCACTGGTATGCGGTGAATTATCTTGGTTAAAGTTATTAGAGCTGTTGTCTTCAGTATCACTTATCATATCTTTGAAATTTCTTAGATCTTTGTCCTCAGGTGCATCAGAGTCTTCACCATTAGCATGGCTCAGTGTAGATAGTACTTTAGGGCTGGTGAGAGTGGGAGACGTCGACACTGACGCGGAGACATTTTGCTGTGTAGAGGTCCCTGGGTTTTTCATCCAAGATGGTAAACTTCTCTTTTTCTTGGAGGACATGGCAGCTGAAATAGGGAAATTTCAATGCATTAATAACAGAGGGCTGGAGTCATAACCTATTACTCAGAGCAAAAGTTCCTGAAAAACAAGATCGATAACGTACAAAATGTGAACAACGTACAATTTTTCAGAATAGAAAAGTTTGAAACGAAAACGAAGAGCACTGTGCTTTGTCAAAGAAATACCACCACAGTTAGTCCACTTTACTTTTCGTTCACATCCAGAATATTTAGAACCAAACAGTTACTCCCGCCATGTCGTACCGCCACTTCAAAAGTGCCAGGAGAGGCAACTCCGTAGCAGTATGCAAATAAAAAGCAGATTGAAGCAGAAAATCCAAAACGTATGAAAAAATTCTTCTACACTAGATTAAACGATGAGATAGCTTTTATGTTTAAATTCTTGCCAGAAACTTCGTACAGCACTAAGCCGAGTAAATGTTTGAGATGTCAATGTTTGCACTACCCTCAGAAAACGTTTCAGAGCAGGTTCCAAAGGCGGTGAGCTCGTCACGTGACCGACCGTGACGTCAGTCACTTCCGGCCATTTACGTTTCTCGTCCCATCCCCGTCAGATTTCGTCGAGCTACTGTGCGGCCAAATTTATCGCGAGACATCCACTGTTCTTGTTCACGCAGGGCAGGTGTATTTTCGACCAAGGATCAAATTTATCTGTCTATGTCCATCCAGAATTTAAACACATTCGGTAAGTGCAGCTCGTTGGTGTATTGTCGCTAATATTTATTCTTGTCATCTCTTGCACAACCAAGATGGCGGTATGTTTTCGTTTTCTTGTGACCTCGCTAATTTCTGCCAGTGCGAAGTTCAGATCAGACATTTACTTGGTCGGCTTGAAAGAGGCAGTATCAGACAACCTCCTGTCTTTTAAATACGTTCGGTATCTGTTTCTTTCTTCCGCAAGTTGTTGCAATTTTCTTATTATTTTTCTGACCCTTCTGATCCAAAAATAGATGAACCTTGACAGTGGTTATTTTGTCACGTCACTGTAAATATTATGATGCTTGAATGTGTCTAATAACATAAAGTCCTTTGTGTGAAGTAGTATTTAAATTAGCATTCTAGGGCGTTCCAGCCCCTTGCCTTGACCCAGTTTTATTAACAACTGAACAAAGTTTCATGTTGAATTTTTTATTGGTGACCCAATCATTTGTTGCCCTCATTCATTCAGGCATTTTTCTCCATTTAACGTCTTTCCTGATGCTGAAACTTTTCTCTAGTTCTTTTACTTCAAATTCTTGGACTGATAAAGATAACCTCTACTGTATCCCTTGCTGTATCTTTTTTCATGATTACTCTTCTAGTGTTTAGATCTCTCTAGAAGAGCTGCTGTATCTCAGCAAACTTAACCAACACCTTATCAGTAATGCTTGTTTTGTTTTGTTTTGCAGACCCCTTTGCAGATGCAATCAAGGGTGCAGATGATGATGTCCAAGACGGTCTCGTGCACATAAGAATCCAACAGCGCAATGGTCGCAAGACTCTAACTACAGTGCAAGGACTTTCTTCAGAGTATGACCTGAAGAAAATTGTCCGAGCATGTAAAAAGGTACGTCTATGAAAATATTTTATTTGTTTGTTTCATGAGAAGATATTGGTGAAATAATCTGTAATTTTGATAATTGTGTTTTCCAGGAGTTTGCCTGCAATGGCACTGTAATTGAACACCCAGAATACGGCGAGGTGCTTCAGCTGCAGGGCGACCAGCGGGAAAACATCTGCCAGTGGCTCACCAAGTCTGGTCTGGCCAAGCCAGACCAGCTCAAGGTGCACGGCTTCTAGGCATGGTCTCTTATTAGCTCACTGTTCGGAGCTAAATTCCTTTCTGTTTCAAATTTTCGATTTTACCCTTCCACGATTTATATTAAAAATGACAGGAATTATGAGTTAGCATGTACCTTGGCACCATTGATGACTTCAGAGAACTAGTCCCTCAATAGGGATAAAACAAAATCACTAGCTTTCAGTTTCTGTTTAGTAGAACAACTCATCAAAATGTCCAAGTTTGTACTGTACAGTTACTATTTTTGTATAGGGTGCCTTTCTCTTGAATGTGTCATAGTTGCCTCAACAACTTTGGGCTGATTGTTTTAAATGTTTTAATTTTGACATGACGCTGCCCTAATGCAATTGTTTTATCAGGGTTCATTAACTTCATTCAATTCAAGAGTAAAGATGTACTACCTCTTAAACTTTGCCTAGCTTTTTAATTTCCCATTCATGTGACTTCATTTATTTGTAGTCTTTCTAAATTATTTCTTTTCACCATGCAAGTTTTCACTTAATAAATGCTTTTTAAAATAAAATGTTCAAAACCAAGTTTTTAATTTTTTAATGTTTCCTGTCTAATGCATACATGTAGGACCAGAATGGGTTCCCTATCATCTGCCTGGCAACGCAGTGTTGATCAGCGTTTGGTCGATCAGCATGGGTTTACCCGGGACCCCTTCCGGGCATTTTGATTCCACGGTGTTGCAACTCAAGGGCACGTCGAAGAGTTCAGGCTGGACATTTTCCAGGGGGCCATTTGGCCGAGAGGTCCGCGGCGACATCGACTGAAGTAGTAGTCACCTGAGTGAGAACGGGACCGTGCTACCGCACTCACATAGCTCAGAACTCTTAGTTTGATCCATCACCGTAAACCAACAGCTGCACCCACACATGGCTGCCAGAACGCACTCTACAACCCTGTACGGTGCCAGCATAGGCAGGTGGTTCGATTCCCGGCGGGGGCGAGGTAAACATTTTTATGGATCACTCACCCGCCTAGACTAGGCGCGTCACACCAGTTGCACCCTCTCGCTCTGAGGCGTGCCTGCTCTGCCAAGGGGAAGCCCTTGGGGCGGCGTGGGTTAGAGGAGCCGGGGGGCTTGTGCGGGAGCAGGCTGGAGTCTGCAGGCCCTGCAGGCCGCGCGGGGAGCTAAGCGTGACAGGTGAAGTGTTGTCATCGATTGGCCGAGCTTCGCGACGGCGGCCACGGACCAGGCAGGCAGGACCAGGGCCCTGCAGGGCGGGGACGGGGTTGGCGGGGCGGGATTGACTGGCGGAGAGTCTGACCGAACCTGGCGGCCTCTCGCCAGGCTGTCCATCTTGGCCGCTTCAGCCCGCTTCCGCCGCCATGACAGCTCGGCTTTCCCCGGCCGGACCGAGGCAGGACAGCCTGGGACACTGGGACAGTCTAGGCGGCCCCAGCTGGGTATCTGAGGCGCAGATTGCACATACTCGTCGGCCTCAGATTTGGCGGGTGTGGTCGCAGAAGTGGCTTCCCTTCCCTTTCCTGTCCACCTTGGCTGGGTCTAGGACTAGCAGCTCCACGGCGACGGCCCCACGCCGGAGCGCCAGGCGGGGGAACAAGCCATGCGACGCCACGCCGCCATGCCCCGGCCAGAGCAAAGCCGACACGGATGGCGACACTGCTCTGTGATTTAACCTCTTTATTTTGCCGAAGGGGAGGGGGATGATGCCGTCATGCAGCCACCCGCAACACGGGGGTGGTTTCCGGTGGCGGGGGCGGTCCTGTTCCCGGGGGAGGGGGGAGCGGGCAGGGGCGGCGCGGCTGGAAGGGGTGGGGGCGCGTCCCGGGCTTGTCCCGGGCGAGGGGGGAGGGGGCGGCGCGGGCAGGGGCGTCCGTTCCGTTGCCGCCATGCTACGCGCTGCGCGGTGCTGCGCGGCGCTACGCCTTCCCTTCTCTTCAGTCGGCTTGAGCAGGCCGCGGCGCGCGGACGAACAACGACACGGCCAGCAGCAGGAGCGCGGATCCGGCCTAGGCCTCACCGAGAGGACTCAGCTGGGACTGACCAAGAGGCCCAGGGGCAGTGGGCAGGGCAGTGGGGGGCCGACGGGGGCACAGGCGTTGCAGCGGGGCGCAGGCGGAGCCCCAGCTGCGGGCGGCTGCGCCCCGTCCACCCCGTCCACCCCGTGACGCGGCGCCGCGCCCCGCCGCCGTCGTCCGCCTCGAGCCTCGCCCGCCTCGCCCGGTGCCGAGGATCGTCCTGCACAGTGCACCGACCACAGCCTTGCAGGCCGAGGCCGCTGAGGCGGCCGAGGCCCAAGCCTTGCCAGCCGAGGCTGTCGCCGGCGCAGGCGGTGGGGGCTGGGCAACAGGTTGGCATGTGATGCCGCTGCGGACAGCCGCCCGGGCCTCCTCGGCGTCCACGGCCTCCACCACCTCCACGACGACGACCACGTCCGTGACAACGTACCAGCCGCCCACGCCGGGCTCCTACCCGTCATGCATCATGTGCCTCGCGGAGCAGGCCGCCTTCCTGGACCCCAACAACGTGTACATGTGCTCGCCCTGCCCCGGGGACACGTCCGGCGCCGTCGGCAACCGGTGCTACATCGTGCACAGGGTAAGGCAGTAGAACTGCACCGCCTCGGTGCCTCGGTCGCGTAGCGGGAACCTTCACGCTTCCGCGGCAAGTCCTCGCCGCGCATTGGCGTCCACCTGGCTCAGGCCTGGCCCAGGCCTGGCCTTCCCTGGCGGCCAGCACGTCCGCGACGTGCCTCCCCAGCCGCGCCCCGCCCTGCACGCCCTCCATATGGTGCAACCCGTGCGTGGGCGTCAACTGCAGCGATTCTGACGTTGGGGAGGCTGGGGTGCTGGCGGTGCTGGCGGTGCTGGGGGCTGCGGGAGGGGGCAGCGTGTTGCGCGTCGCGCTCAGCCCCTCGGCCCCACGGGGTGCGGGCAGCGCGGGGCAGCGCGGGGCAGCGCCGCCGCCTGCGCGACCCTCCCCTTCCACCGCGCTGCCGCCGCCTGGCCCGCCTGGCCCCAGGCAGCCCGCCGGCTCACCGAACATATGTTTGGGCTTTAGCGGCTTGCGGTGCGTGGGCCAGCGACCCGCGGGGGCTGCGGGGCCCCCGAGGGCCGCGATGCACCTGCCGCGGTGTCCAGCCTCCGCGGCGGGGCGGCGGGGGGCCGCGGGGGCTGCCCATCACCCGTTTTGTCCCCACCATATGGCGTGTCACTCGGCACCCTCGCCGCCGTGCCATGCCGCCGTGCCATGCCGCCCCCCACGCTGTCCCTCTGGGGCGTGGCGTGGCGCGGGGCACCGCGTGGGGCCTTGCGGGGGCGGTTCGACAAACCCCGCCAGCCCCGCCAAGCCTCCGGCAAGCCTCGCCTGCCCAGCCTGCCCAGCCTAGACCTGCTGTTCGGACCGCGGAGCCGCGGAGCCGCGGAGCCGCGGAGGCTGACTGCGTCTGGATCGATAGCTCAGCCCTCCGAAAGCCCAAGCAAGCCCAAGCAAGCCGGCGGCGGGAGAAGCGGCGGGCGGGCGGCGGAGAGGCGTCGCGCGGCGCAGCCAGGCGTAGCGGGCTGGCCGGGCTGGCCCCCGCAGAGGCGGATAAGGCTGGCGTTGGCGGGGCCGCGGCGGGGCTGACGCAGATGTGCCCATCCCGTCTGTCTGCAACCTGTAAGGCGCACGTCGCAGCCGCGGCAGTCGCGGCCACGCCCCGCCAAAACTCAACAAGTCGGGCCAGGCAACAGGCAACGCCAGGGCAACGCTGGGGCTGCACTCTCTTCCGACTAGTGCACGTCGGCGATGTGCCGATGGCGGATGGCCGACGGGATGCAATTGATGATTGCCAATCGCGCCGCGTCGCGTCACGTCATCGCCATCCAGCTCTGCCGATAGAGCAGTAGTGCCTGCCTGGTCCAGTGGAGGCACTGGGAGTGAGGTCCTGGACAGACAGGCACATTCCACACGCGCGTCCATCGTGCCACAACGCGCCACGTGAACGCCAACAATCGTCTCGTCGCGCTGTCTCTCTCCAGCCTCCGCGGGTCGCCTGAGTGCGAGAGAGACAGCGCGACCGCCCTGCAGCTGGATGTGGCTGAGCCGGCAGAGCGCACGTGACGTCGACACACCCGCTTCGCCTGCTTCGCCTGCTTCGCCTGCTTCGGCGCAGATCTGGTGTCTACCCCATGGCGGTTTACATCACCCTGTTTTCTGGCCTTGTTGTACCGACGACACAACGCTGCGGATAACTCCAATGACACGGATCGCCGCGGTGCCGCGGTGTCGGATTTCCGCCGCCGTGATGTCAGCAGTGCGGCTGCGCGGCTGCGGGGCTGCGCTGCGGTACCCTGCCCGTTCGCTTCGCCTCCCTTCGCTTCGCGCGAGCCAAGTGTCTTGCCGCGCGCCTGCAATGCGTGGGGTAGGCAGTGCCGCGGAGCAGGGCTGCGCGCGGGTTGCACCAAGTGCCTACCTCGCAGGCGGTCTTGCAGCTCGACGCGGTGACGCGGTCTCGGACTCGCCGCTCCCAATCCCAATCAAAGCCCGCGCGTGGGCGTGGACGGCGAGGGCGTGGAGGGCCAAAGTTAAATTGCGTCCCGAGGAAATGTATTAGGCGGGAGTGGGTGTCTTTGATGCCGCGCTGCGAGGTTCGGCCGTTCGGCGCACGACGTTGCCTCAGCCGAGCCATGGCCGCCATGGCCGAGCAGCGGGGTGGCCAACCCCCGGCCGGCGCTAGCGCAGGCTAGCGCCGCTACCGAGCGAACCAATTCCTGCGGACGAACGGGCAGACGGGCGGACTGGCTCGCTGGGCTCACTGCCGCGCGCACTGCGAGCGCATTTCCTGGCCTCCAGAATTCCGGGCGAACGCTGTGAAGCTGTGCGCTACGCGGTGTGTGTGTGTTTCCCCACCACAATGGGGCGGTGCGGGCACAGAGCGGGCACAGAGCGGGCACAGGGCGGGCACAGTGCGGCGAGGCCCCGCCCCGCCCCGCCAGCTACTAACGATAGAATTCAATCAGAACTTGCGGAGGGAGACGGAGGGGCCGCAATCGAGTTTGCCCACATGCTGGTCGCCCCGCGTCGCCCCGCGCCGGCCAGGGGTTCACGTCGACCACTGACCCTGCTCGGCCTGGCGTGGCCTGGCCTGGCCCCGCCCTGAGCTGACTGGCTTGCCAACAGGTGACGTCCACCAGCACGGCGACGGCCTGCAAGGACGAGGAGCCCGCCAAGGACGCGGGCACCGTCACGCTCTTCGTGCCCAACCTGGTGCCCAGCCTGGTGGCGCCGCCGGGCTTCGAGGTGGGCCTGGGCGCGGCCAGGAGTATCAGCCTGCCGCCCCTGCCGCCAGACGTGCCCGTCGCCATCGCCTGTCCGCCGGGCGCGGCGGGCTGCAGCCTCAACGGCCTCAACCCGCACGCCGAGGTGTTCCAGAGCCAGATCGTGTACCACACCAAGCAGCACGCTGACGTCGCCACCGTCGCCACCGTCGCCACGACGACCACCATCACGACGACCATCCCCGCGGCCGCCTCCGCCACCACCACCAGCACCGCCCCCACGACCACCTCCACCTCCTCGCCACAGGAAGGTAAGCCAGACGGCCAGATGCCTGAAATACCTCAGACACTGGGGGCGTGGGTAAGCGGTGAGGGCTCTAAAGGGCAATGCGATGCATGTCTAGGTTCGTCTTATCTGCCTCGTGCCTGCCCCAGATGTCTGCAAAAAAGGCCTCTTAAATCGGTCGCACCGCTCAAGCGTGCTGAAATAGTTTTGCTGCGCTTCTGGTTACGTTCCGCAAACCCCCTTTGCGCCCTCCCCCTTGTCCCCTCGCTCCTCTCCCTTGGGATGGTGACGGTTGAGCCCCAGGGCAACCCGGATTAGGCCCTTCAGGAGACTGATTCCGAGAGCCGCTTTCATAGCTCTGCCTCTCTCGTACTCTGGGGGTGTTCCGTATAGGTGCGAGAGAGACAGACCGACGGAAACGACTCTCGGAACCAGGCTGTAGAGCATTCTCTGTGAGTCCATCGTTGCTGCTCTGTTGTGAACTTTCATTCAAATCAGCCGAGTTCTCTATAGCTGTGGTATGGACAGCAACAGCAGTCCCGCCACACCGCGGTTTGCGGGCATTCGGAGCGACACAAGTAGCGAATTCGGTGTCGGCCTCTCGGTCTATCGGCGCGATGGAGACGGACTCTAACGGCTCTCGAGCACCAGGCGAGCACCAGCCGCGCGCCTCGAGTTGGCCTGACAGCGCGCTGGCACTGCCTAGGCTGCCTAAGCACTGCGCGACTGTACAGAGTGCATCATTCAGGAAAAACGTCGCGAGCACTCCCGCTGTTGTTTCCAAGCTTGAGCGGCTTGCGCATGGACTTCCCCGCCGCGTTTCTTCGAATCCGCCTCCTTTCAGAGCCGTTCCGTTTCCATTTCTGGTGGGCATTCTAGGCGGCAGGCGACTCCAGAGACTGGGGACTCAAAGGAAGAGGGGACGGGCTGCGGGTTGATTTTGAACACTGCTTCGTTTCTCCGTCTCCCGCGGGACCAGGCGGGCCGCCCCTCGAGTGCGAGAGAGACGGCACCGCTGGGCCGCGCACGTGCCATATGGGAGGACGGTGAGAGACCCAAACGACACGTTCTGCATTCCGTCGGGTCATGCGGACCCCAGGAACCACCAGGAACCGGCAGCGCGGTGCCGCGCTCGCCGAGACGATGACGAATCGAACAATCTGCCGGCCTACAGCAAACTGACGTTTTCGGACCCCCAATTGCGGGGCCTGTGGGGGCATAGTACAGTGTCGGGTCCCAGAGAAAAAAAGATGTGTCTGCCTCCACCGCGGGTCAATGAGAGTGACCTAGAGAGGAAATGGGAACTCGTTTCCAGTTCATCGATGTGCAAGAACGTGCACATTGTTTTCGAACGCGCCGGTGCAGTTTGAACAAAAGCGCACGTCATTGAAGCCTGCGTGCTTCATCAAGAGGCGTAAGTCAGCTGTTTTACCCCTCGAACTTTGCGCGTGATGCGCGCCATTCTTTTCAAATTTAGGCGAGTTAGTGGGTTTGTGTCTGGCCGGGGCGATGGGGCGACGTGGCAGCACTTCTTGTCTGCGCGGAAGTGCAGGAATTCCCGGGCGCTCGGTTCGAGCGAGAGAGACAGCCGCTAGCCTGCCGCCAGCCGCCCGCAGGTTTCGGGCGTCTTGTCGATCGGCATCTTGCTCTGGCACACTGGCACGGGGTGGGAGTGGAAGGGAGAGGGGAGGGTGGGCAGGGGAACGAGGCACACACATGAAAGTCTTTTTGCCGGAGCACAATGCGTGGATAAATATATTCCAAAATATTTCTACTGATTTATAATACGTCTTACCCATGTTAAAATTGCCATTTTATGCAAAGGGCAGAGGTCAAAATCGGGCAATTCCGGAAAGGAGAGGTCTCATGTTTTCTTCCCATCATGCAATGTGCGCCCTGCATGCTGTGCCTGTGTCGGCCATTTTGGATCTCTAGTGAGAATTTGTGTTGAGTTGGAAACTCTCCACTCTAGTAAGTAACGATTGATAAAGATACTTGACATGCTTTCAGATTAGAAAAATAAAATATGGCTTTCTTTACCGATTCGAACAACTGTGGGCACGATTCATGAAATGAATGAGTATGCCGTAGACCCGTCAGTCTTTTCTGTGGCTGTGCGGAGTGCACGATTAAGGAAGCCTAGGCCTAATAAGGCACATGGTTTCCGTGAATTTTTACATTCCGAAAACTTTTAAAGGTCGTTGAATTCATTTTTTCGTTCCACCTATCTGGCATAGGTCGATGTATGAGTGACACGTAGTGGAAATCTGTTGTTTTCAAGTTGTTGGAATCTTTATTTTCTATATTCTGCTACCGAATCCTTCACGATGTTGCCCTGAAACGTGCTAGAGCCTAGGCTGGGTATTTTATTATTAGGCCAGGCCTTAAACGGGGGTAATTGTTGCTCAGTGACTCAGGTTCGTCCTCTCAAGGAGTATTATTAACAATAGCTCCTAATTGTCCGTAGCACAAGGATTCCTTCAAGTTTGATCACATGACTGGTTAATTCCACTGAACAAGTTTTGGTTAGTCGTCCGTCCCCATATTTTAACATCCAAATTTCTTCTCATGGACGTACACACATGCACAGGTATGATTATCAGTCTGTTCGTATCTTCTTAATTGTATTATCAGTGGTTCTAAGGGTGAATGAGTTGAGAACAGTATGTTTGGTTATGTTCAGCCTGATGAGCTAGTGTAGGGTTTGGGTAGGGTTGCTGGACGCTTTTGGTGCTCTGCAGAGGCAATTTTATTATACTTGTGACTTCAGGGTCTCCCTGTATTTTTAAACCTTATTGTGAAACAGTAATTATTTAGTTGTTTCAATATGGGATCAACAAGGCCTTGGTGAAGCCCTATAAAGATTGCCTTCAGATTTTCTGGCCATGCATATTTTGAATTTGACTTTAGGGCATGATAGGCGGTCTAGTTCTGCACATGCCACTCAACAGTATCAGTCAAAATTTTGATCCAAATGCGTATTGGTGGTAGTGACCTGGTTAGGCTTGGAGGTTATGGTGCTCTAGCTGGAATGCTGACTTATGTGGGTTGATTCTTGCTTTGACTTACTGAATTAATGCTTTTGCATGTGTGTCACAAAGATACCTCTTCATTGAAACCCTTCAACCATATAATACCTGCACTTGCATATTATTTGAACTTGTCAGCATGACATTCAATTTCAAGCCAAAGTGTTCCTTCTTTCTGACTTTCTGGTTAAGAAAGGGTTCTTTCCATAATTTTATGATGATCAGGGCTACAGTAACATCGGTTTGGTTTCAATATGCCTGTCACTGTGAACATCAGAAAATTCTACCTGAATTTGGATCGTATGCGGTTGCACTCAATGTCATCAGATTCTTTTATGAGGCGTTTGTCCTCTGGCTGATTACTGATCTGCTGTGTGTGTCTTAATATGCGCATTGCACTGCTGTTTCTACAATGTGATTGACATTCCCGTGTATGGCTTCTAGTATGATGTAATAGTCAAGGTTAGAATGTGTAAGAGTACTCTTCTAGCTTTGAGCTGCTATTGCAAGGGCATGTGTGAGAATGATTACCTCTGTCTAGACAAAACCCTACAGAATTTGTGAGGACTGTGCAAAAATCGTTTCTCTCTGTTTGTGCACTTTTTTCAATGATGTAGGAGTGATAAATATCTTATCATGTTGTCATAATTTGACCAAATTTAGATGTACCCTATAGCTGAAGCTATCCTCAACCGCATAATTGAATGTTACCATTTTTGTAACCTGTTCTTTGTGGAGCTTTAACATTTCCATCTCTTTCTTCTTGCTGTGACCCAACATCTTGCTGCCATTCTTTGCTAGGTACTGGAATATCTGCAAGGACCATTTGAACATGCTTCTTTTTGTTTGCTTTACAGGGTGTGTGTACATGAATGGGGACATTGCGAAGCTCCCTTCAGGGGCGGTATTCTCTACCACCCCTGAAAATATTCCCTTGGCCACCTCAATTAACAACACAGACTACAGGTGAGTGGCTTTGCAACTGGAGTGTGGTGTTTTCTTTTGTGTGCTTGGCAGCCTCTGAGTGAAAATTGATTGGCCTTTTGCAGCACCTTAAATGGGATCAGTGCGGATGTCGACACAGATGCCACTGACTCAACAGAGCCAGTGGACTTGTTGGAGTGCAGTGATGGTCTGGGGGATGGAGCATCTACACCAACTCACAGTGTTGCCAATAGTACAGCAAGCATATCTGCCAGTGGTGCTTCAAGCAATACAACAAGTGCTGCAGTATCACCACACGATGGCTCCATTCCCCTTGAGCAACTTAAACAACTGCTTTCATCACAACTAGAATATTACTTCTCTAGGTGAGTGGTTCAAACTGCCACAATCTGTGGCGTAATGCACACATTAGAGCCTTGCTCTTGCCTTTTGAAGTGTAAGGTGTCGAAGCTGTGCTATATTAATATCCTAGTGTCACTATTATATTTTTTATCCTATTTAGGGGTGAGGATTGTGATGCTAGGATATATTCAATGCTTTTTTTTTCATAAAAGAAAACTTTTTTCTGTTGTGCACACATTAGAACCTTTCTCTCAAATATCAAAGTTAAAGGTGTCGGAGTGATGCCAAATCAAAATGCAGCTGGCTGTTACTGTTTCAAATTCATTTTCTTGTGGATGCTGAATTGGAGCTACCTGCTATATTTACAGTATTGTAACTGAATAAGCACACATTAGAACCTTTTTCTCAAATATCAAAGTTGAAGGTGTCGTAGTGATGCCAAGTCAAAAGCACCATCACCATCACCTGTAATATGTGTTTTGTTAACCCTCCTTTTTTTCCTTTTTAAAGGGAAAACTTGGCTAATGATACGTACCTGCTCTCTCAAATGGACAATGACCAATATGTGCCCATATGGACTGTTGCCAACTTCAACCAAGTTAAGAAACTTACTAATGATATCAAACTTATTACTGAAGTCCTTAGAGGTATGTTCCAACTGCTGGTAAAATCTATTGACTATAATTTCTTTTCAAGCTTTTAATGATACTAAAATTTATTTGATGCTTGCAGAGTCTCCAAATGTACAAGTAGACGAAGAGGGGCAGAAAGTACGACCTAATCATAAACGATGCATAGTCATTTTGAGAGAGATTCCTGATAGTACTCCTCTCGAAGATGTTAAGGTGAGTTGAAACTCAAACCTTTCTATTCATGCTGATTTCTGGCTTTTAATTTATTCTCTATATGTGTTTTTAATATCTTTTACAGAATCTATTTTCTGGGGAAAATTGTCCCAGATTAATATCATGCGAATTTGCACATAACTCATCTTGGTATGTTACATTTGAGTCGGATGAAGATGCTCAAAGGGCCTATAGATTTTTACGTGAGGAAGTCAGGGAATTTCAGGTAAGTGTCTTAATGGCTATTTACCAAATTTGGTTGAATTTAGCAAAAACATTGATTTACAATTTCAACTTTGATTTCCAGGGTAAGCCCATAATGGCTCGAATTAAAGCAAAACACATGAATAGGTTACCCGCACCGACTGTGGGAGTAGGGGTAGGTCCAGTTCCAGTGGGTGTTGGGGTTGGGGTTGGAGTAGGTGTTACAGGGCAGCCATTGGGTCCTGGTGGCCCTATGAAGAATGGCTACAGAACACCCCCATCCGGACCCGCGGCTGCAACCCCAGGCACCTCAACCACAGCCCCAGTGTACGACCCTAATGCACAGTACCAAGGAAACCAGCAGCGATATCTCTACAATGGAAGCCCTCTCCCTGGAGTCAACTATGGCAATCAAGTTCAAATATTTGTAAGATTTGATCTGAAGAATGGATAACAATAATCTCTCTGTTAATTTAAGCTGACCTGTCTTGTTTCATGGTTTTTATGTTTTGCAGGCATTTCAACAGCAACCTTTCTATCCGCCTAGTATGCTTCATCAACCATGGACTCACGCACCTCACTCAAATCCTCCTTACTTTGAAATGAGCAATGTATTTTCAATGAACGGAATCTCCCCTCAAGGATCATACTCTAAGCCACCTTCAAGGTTTCCTATTCAAAGAAACACAAGGTCAGCTGCAAAATATTGAAATTTACTTGATGTCTTCTCAAGAATTCACAGAGGTCTAATCACATCTTGTTTTGTACAGAAATAGACGTGAACCTCGCTCAGGGGACAGAAGTCACCTATCAGACAGTGGGCGTCATCATTCAAATTTGAGTCATCATCATCATCTTGGACCTGCTCCTGTTGTTAGTGCTGTAGCCTTAAAGAATTCAAATGCTACATCACTTAAGGTAAAGTTTGATTGATTGAGTATGTGTGTGTTTGGTCATGTTTGAGACCTGGCCTACAATTGTTCTTTCTTATAAAATTTTAGAGTCAACACACATCAGTGCCTGGACCAGGTGACTTGAGAATTTCTCAGAGTAATTCATCGACTGTCACCGCACCAGCTCTTACAACAGCATCAACAACCACAACCAGCACTGCTTCTCAAGACAGCAGTGATGTTGTGGTTGATGAAATTAGTACGCGGGGTCCAACCAACAGCAGAGATTCATCAAAGGAACCTCTACCTCCACGGTATTATCTAAAATGTTTTTAACCAACTAAGCAAATGAGTTGTGGCAAATTTATAGCGGAGCAATTTGTGTTAGACACAGGCGGAGAAGGAAGGAAGAAGACCCACCAGCCGCACGTGGAAAGCCAAGCAGCCCGCTCCCTGCCTCAACAAGCAATACCCGTCCTGGACCTCAATTTGACTTGGAAGCAAATGCGTTTCCACCTCTCCCAGGCTTTCCACCTCTCTCAGAAGCACCAGCCGCTGGAACAAACGCTGCAAAGACTGTGGCCGCCCCCGATAGCATTGTGTCTTCAGTAGAACCCTCCCAATCACATTGGGAAAATAGGTAAGCTTTTTTCCTCCCCTCTTTTGACATTTGTGTGCGCGCGCACGTGTGTGTGTGTGTGTGTTTGTGTGTGGGGTTGTGTTGGAGCTTTCATGTGGGCTTGGTATTTCAGGTTAGCAGATGTTGTTAAGGGCACTGCAAAGCCTAAAGGACAAAGTAGCCATAGCAGTGCAAGCAGTGCAAGCAGCAGCAGCAGCAACAGCAGTGTGACAAAGGAGAAGGAGGCAGGCAGCTCTAGCTCACCACGCACACTGACTCCCCCCCCTCAGACTAGTCAGGCAGGGACGGGGGTTGGGGCGCCCCCGCCCCAGTCCGTAGCACCTGTGTCTTCGTCTTCGTCGTCTTCGCAATCTCACCCCCAGCCACACCATAATTCTCAAACTCACGCTCCAGCTTCGCACACTTCTGCGCAGCCGTGTGTTCATTCAGGCATATCGTCTTCAACGGGCAGTGATTCTGCACTTGCCACTGTAGCCATGACGCCGCCATCTTCGCCTGAAAAGTATGTGGTGGATGCTTGTTGTGGAGTTTGAATGGAGCACTGTGTGAATGTTCAAGTGAGCAATTATTTGACTCAACCTTTGTTTTAGGGTTGTTCCTGTCATTAAAAAGAGCTGCACCACTGCAGACAAATCTACAAAGACTGAGGATACTCTGCTTCATTCTGCAGAGGAGAGGGTTAAAGAGACTATTACCGACACTAGTAGTTCTAGCAACAAACAAAGTGGTCAAGTGAGTATCAAACAATTCTATTTCCCTAATGTTTTTTTTTGGAGAAAAATGTGAGACCCACAGTCTACCGGGGCACTGTGTGATGTGGTTAATTATGTGACTCACTCCCTTTTGCAGAGCATGTCCGCAGCGGCTGTTGTTGCAAAGTCTGTTCCGACGACCACAAACGCATCCACTATGACTAGCACTGTGCTGACTGAATCAACTTCCTCATCAAACACTCCTCCTTCACAATCTGCTCCAAGTCCTCCTCCTGTTGCTGGGGTATGTAAAGCAGATCATCTCTCACAATTTTCCTCTGTTTTCGTTCAATTTTATTGCCTTTACAAGGGTAATTGATACTGAACTGGTGTTTCTTTTGTTTCCAGGAGCCTGTACGCCTAAGTTATGCTCAGGTAGCCCAGCATGCCAAGGAAAAAATGGAGCGAGCAGCGAAAGAAAAAGAGGAAAGTGTTTCACCTGCTTCAAGTTCCACTACTACTACTACTAGTGTCTCTACCAGCGCTAATACAGTGGTTTCTAGAGTATCTGCACAACATTCACATGCTGACAGAGGAGGTTAGTTGAATGATAATCACTTTCTTGCCAATTGCTCTTTCCTAGCATTATCTCAAGAGTGTGCTTTTCCTTTTACAGACTCATCAAATTCGGCACGATATTCAGGCCGAGGTAATTCTAGTGCTAGTAATAGTAATAATAGTAGTAGCAATGCAAGCACCAGACCGGAACGAAGTGGTTTTAGAAGAAGAGATAATCCACCTTCAGAGCGATCGGATCGCTCAGATAGGGTGCATCGCTTTCGAGAGTTCCTGAAATAGCGGCAAGGTTCAGGCTGTATCAGTGACCTGCCATTTCAATTATTGTTGCTTTGTTTGAGTTGTGAAAAGAATTATCTGTTCTTTCTGGCAGAATTGTAGTAGGTAGGTTGTTATGAATTGCACTGTAGTGAAATCAGAGACAAAGACTCAAAGCCCAAAGTTGGTACCAAGTGCCCCATACTCGTGTGTTATACAGTGGTCCATTTGGACGAAACTTTTATATAGTGTATAAACAATATCATGAATTAATGAAAGTTTCTCCCTCCATCTTCATTATTATTCAGTTGTTATTATGTGCCTTAACTTTTTGGGATTCGGTGCACCCTGTTGTTAAGGATATCACACACCTGATAAAAACAAAATTATGTAATTATTTTTGTTTTCAGTAGTTAATGTGTTATCTTTGTAATAATAGCCATAGCTTTGATAAGCTCCCTGCAAAGTTGATTGTTTTGTTTTTGTTTTGTGTGGCCAAGCAGAGAAGCGATTTAGGAGAAAGTGTGGGAGCAAAGAGACACATCTGAAGGTTGTTTGCATTGTATGCATGTGTGTGCAGTAACTGTGATACCCCTTAACCACAATTTTAAGAATTATAAACAATTACTGTTTGGTGTAATATATCAGGGATAGTTGAGTACATTGTGACCCAATTTACTGCTCTGGCATTCTTGATTATTGGAATTGTGCTATGTATGGGGCTTGTCGTCCGATAATTTCCCCTCCCTCCCCCTTCCCCCTTCCCCCGACAATTGTTCGAATTTTAAGACAAAAGTTATCTTTCATCGGCCCAATAGATTTAAGAAGATTTATGTAAAGATGTGGTAATGGTATTTTAGAAGTGGAGTAATTTTTCTTACCACTACTTTTCTTACTAAACGACGTTAACATTTAAATGTAGGGATGATTGTGTGTGTGTGTTCGTGTGTGTGCGTATTGGAGGATTGTTCCATGGCAGACACTAAGTCGGAAATGCTGGTGTTGGGTCTGGTGCAGTGTTCTGAATGGGGTCGTTGGCAGCTGGGCGGAACCCCGGTGCTGGAACGTAGTTCTGATGGGCTGGTCTAGCCTTACCTAGCCCTCCCTCGCCTGCCTCGCCTCGTGTAGCCAAGCCTAGCACAGCCCAGATTTCTCTAGCCTTGCCTAGCCTTGCCTAGCCCAGCCCGATGGTCTGCTTATGACGCGCCGGTCTCCGGACCCTATCTCTGGGCACTCGTGGCCAGTGAGCCAGCTCAACTCTCATCTCGCCAGAGTTTGGTCGTTGGGCTGTGGAGACAACCCACACACATTATTGGTTGCTTTCTTTTGGGAAGATCTCTAATAATGCTCTTGCTGATTGTTAACAGGTGTGTGTAATAATTGTGTAAAAGTGATTGTGCATTTGTCCCCTCCCCCTCCCCTTGTACAGAATTTGACTAACAAATTTATTTTTGACAAATGTATAGTTTGCAATCAGTGTAGTTGTTAAAGTAAGTAATTATTATTATAAAGTGGTTACAATGTAAACTTATTATCCTATTACATTTGTTGGGATTTTTTTTTTAAAGGACAATACTATTGTACTTTTGTTTCATTTTTATATGAAATAAAACTTGCTAAATTGAATTTTGGATTGGCAGGTTGGTGTTGGGAAGATTTTTATTTAATTAATTTTGTTGACTGGAATGTACAGAGCATGATCCAGGCAGCCGTTCAAGTAATGTAGCCATAGGTGCAAGAATCAACTTAACTCGAACGACTGTGAGGCATGTGTGAGCCTGAATGCATTGGGTGTAGCTTCCTCAATTCTTGGCTGTAGCTTCTTTAGTGTATCCTGCCAGCCGAGGACGGATCACAGTGCTTCCACTAGCTTTAGGTCTCCTATTTCTGTTGCAGACTTCCTCACTAATGCCAATCCAGCATATCTTTGAAGTAAATCTTTAAATGTGTGTTACATTTTTTTCTTTTTTATATATACATATTATATATATATTTACATATATATATATATTGTAATATATATATATATGAAGGTACAAGTCATTTAAGTGCTCATTGTAAAATATTTGATCGTTATTACTTGTCGAGGAATGTTGATCACAAATAACTCATTCGCTATGTTGTATGTGGTATTTTTGCTCTTTCAGTGTCGTATAATTTCTGACAAAATTTTTGATGTATTTCTCAGGAAACTTTGTTAGGGAACCAACATACATGAAAACTTGCATAATCCTGTCATGTTGTGACAGGGTACTTAAAAGTTGTGTGAAAAATAATGTTTACATTTACTCTCTAAGCAAATATGAGAAAAATAGTCGATTTTTGATTGCCTTGTTCAACTGTGTGTTGTTCATAGGTAAGAGAAATTGTTCATAATGTATAAGCTTATTTTTACACAATGGTCATTGTGAGGCAAATGAGTTTTGTGTGTTTTTGTTCAATAAAATAATAAAAAATTGCATATGGAACGTGATTAAGCTCCCCATAATCCCACTGGGAATCCTGCACTTAACTTGAGTACTGTATTTTTTCAGTATAGTTTTCATGCCTTAAAAGATTTCTGAGTTTTGTATAGAGTATATTTGATATTGTTGAAAGATTTTATAATAACAATTGTGGTGTAAAGTGGCCTTTATTACTGGCCAAATTTATCCTCAGTTTGCCTGAGAGTTTGTATAATTATCTATTTTTTTATAGTTTCTTTAATGGAAACTGTTTGGAGAATGCCTTGCTGTATTGATTATCTATTGCACTCCAATCAGATAGCCGGCTTGAACACAGAAAGGGAATACATCACTTTGTTAACACAAACACCAAATTCTCATGTTGCAGCAATCGTTTGTTAGGATTTTATTTTATGAACCATTAGCTCAAGGTGTGTGGGTGATATGTGGTGACAGATTTGTTTTGTGTAAGTTGCAATTCTTGGATTGATGGTTCATACCATTGTTATTAATTTGTAAATGTGAATTTAAATGCCTTCCAGCAAAACTGAAGCTGTTGCCAATCTTTGTTTGGTGCGTCTTTTATTTTTGGCTATGTCTTGATTGCTTTCACACTGCCTGGAGGGACACGAAAGTAAAAGGGGAGGGAGTGAGGGCATTTTCTCTGACTGTAATGTATATATATATATTTAAATATATATATATATAATTATAAATATTTAATCTGTTGATAGTCTTTGCAAATGTTTCTGTGCATGAAGGGAAATTAAATAGCTGTTTATTACTTGTGTTTAATTTTTCTATGCCTGACATCTCTTGGTAACATTTTAAACACGATGGGAATGGGGGTACTATCCAATCAACCAATACTGCATGAATTGAAACGGGAATTGGCATGAGTAAAAAGACAATGCCAGCATGCAGGATATATAGAAAATTGGGCTCATTGCCACTCTGTCAATACAGTCAACAAACTTGCTATATATTTTTATTTGATTTATTAAAAAATTGTGAAAGGCTTAAAATGTTTACATGGACACTCAGAGCCTGGCAAACAGAGACTTATCTAGGAATGTACTTAACTAACGGACAGAGGAATGGGAATGTACAAGTCACATATCCTGTATTTACAGAACTTTACAGAACTTAAAAACAATTTCTCACGCCATGATTTGAAGTGCACCAAAACAATATACACACATAGGCAATTGTCTGAAAAGAACAACAAGGATAGTGGTTCCACACACACTAAGGGGCAGATTTTGGTACTGTATCCTAATGCATAATATTCAATGGTGCCCTGGTTGTGCATTACCATATTCGTCTTTGCAAATGCAAAAGGTACCGCGAACATAAAATTTTACAACCGCTTCGTAGGAGGTGATAAGTTAACAATATTTTGTACCTTGACTGTGTCTAGAGATAAAGCATCAGTCTTGCATTGGATCTTAGTTTATCACATGGGCAATTTATCACAGAGGATCGTGCAAATGGCAAAGCTAGACGGCCTCATACATCTCACTTCTTTCCAGCAGAGCCAGCGTTAAATTTACACACACGCACACAACAACACTGGCAGCGAGCGAGCCGCGTGGTCGTTTCTGTCATTATCTGCGGGACTCGTCGAAGCCGCCCGCTTCTTCTGCAAGGGTAACTGCAGGGGAGGAGGCTAGAGAGGGGACCCGGCCCGGCCCCGGCGATGTCGAAACCACCGAAAACGCCGTGGCGGTGGCGATACTCCGCGCTGGCGGCTGGCGATGCGGCTAATGCCGCAAGGGGTATCGCCGAGCAGCGCGGCGGCGAGGTGGGCTAATGCCGCAAGGGGTATCGCCGAGCAGCGCGGCTAGATGGGCGAGATGGGCTAGATGGACAGCGACGGGCGCTTCTTCCGGTCCTGGCCGGCCGGCCGCTTGCCCGCCGCCTTGCTGAAGATGTTCCCCAGCACCTTGGACACCGAGTTGACGCCCAGCTTGCGGCGGATGGGGAGGGTGCGCAGCAGCTGCAGCGACCGCGCCTCGCGCAGCAGCGACTGGAAGGCTAGCGACACGCCGGCCCAGTGCTCGGCCGCCGACACCTCGTAGAACTGGCAGCCGAACTGCAGGGACAGCTCCTGGCCCGCGTCCACACCCACCTGCCTGGGGGCAGTCAGACTTACAGCGCACCGACACACCGACACATCGAGCAACACAGTGGGCCAGAAAGCCGGTGCAGGCGGCAGAAATTCTAGACGCGTTTTGAGCTCTAGAGTCACTAAACAGGACTCCAACCAAACGTGTGACCCCACCAATGGATCGCTCTCAGAACGAGGGATCCATTGGTGGGGTCACACGATCGGTTCGAGTCCCAGCGACTTTTAGCGACTTTTTGCCGCCTCCACCGGTCTTCTGGCCCACTGTGTGGGGATCGCGCGGCGCGTGAGTTACCTGGAGTGGTCGAGGTCCCTCTTGTTGCCCAGCAGCAGCGTGGTGCAGTAGCCGGGCAGCTTGAGGGCCGCCACCTTGTCCAGCAGGTCCCTGGCGTCGTGGAAGCTGAGCGCGTCGCACACCGAGTAGACCACCACGAAGGCCTCCCCCCAGCGGAGGTGCTCGTCCAGGCAGCCCATGGCCTGCAGCAGGGAACAGGATTGTTCTTTTATCACGTGGCGACGCGGGGAAGTGGCACAGCAGACGGATGCCGAGAGTCGTTAAGGTGGCTCTGTCTCTCTCGCACCCATACGGCACGCCCCATGCGTGCGAGAGAGACAGAGCGACTCTCGGAATCAGTCTGCGGGGCCACTTCCGGAAGAGACACTGCAGCCACTTCCGAGTGCAACGCGCAACTCGATCGGTGCATCGGCTAGATCGGCATTCGATATCTCGAACGCCGCAACAACGCGTGGCGTGCCGCCGCACCAGCCCCAACTAAAGTTCAGGCGTGTCTATCTCTTAAACGGCGAGGGCTAGAAACGTACCGCACAGGGCAACTTCTGTTTCAAATTCAATTTCCTGAATTTTTTGGCTTCTGCACGACGCTTGTGGCGCACACCGTTTAAGAGATATAGACGCAATTTTCTTTTTCTCTGCCGCCGCCTCCGCCGAGCGCCTGACGAGTCGAGGGTAGGCAGACCCGCAGCGCACGTCTGTTCGACGGGCGGGGCCGCCTGCCGGGCGCTCCATACCATTACCATTAAGGGCTAGACCACAGCGACTTGGAGCACGAGTGGGCGGAAATCTTCGAATTCACCCGTCTTGACAGGGTTGCCAACCTCGGACTGTATTCTAGAAACTGGGCTCCAAAAGTTGCCCGATAAGTTGGCGGAGGTTGGCAACCCTATCGACTCTGGTGCACGGCGATGGCAGCACTGCGTCCCCGTTGCGTTTCCCCGTTCCCGGCCGTCAACGAGGCCGTCATTACCGGGGACCTTTTGTCCCGCGAGGCGAATGGCGGCCGCGACGGAATGGCCATAAACGCTCGTATAAATTGAGTTATCAAAATCTGGCTAATGAAGGCCCCACCCGGCCGGCGCTGTTTACGACTGCCGCTCTGTCTCTCTCGCGCTCGCGGGCGCGGCCCAGAGCGGCCCGGAGCGGCGCGAGAGAGACAGACCGACGAAGCGCACAGTTCGGAATCCCATCTCCTGACACTGGCTGACGCGTCTCGCCGTTTTACTCCCTCGCCATGAATCTTGCATGCGGAGCAAAGGGGGACAGGTACTACGCAAAAAATAAATATAAACAAGAAGGGAGAGGCAACTTACCGCGCATTTGGACGTGTCCAGGATCTCCACTTCCGTCGTGGCGCTGTCGAAGGTGACGCAGTGGCGGTACAGGAAGTCTGCAAGCAAGAAGCCAGAGTTCAGTTGGCCGAAAACGACAAACGGACTTGGCGGGCCTCTGTTCCGTTCTCACACGGCAGCACATGCCCGTCGACCTTTTTCCCTCTGAAATTCTTTGAAGCCCCGCCGCCGCGCCGCCTGCGCCGTAAATTGCCTGCAGAGTCGTCTTCGTCGCTCCGTCTCTCTCGCACCCATGAGAACGCCCCGCGAGTGCGAGAGAGACGGAGCGACGCACGGAATCAGGCTGCTGCCGGCCGGAGCCAATGAGCGACGCGCGTGGCGGCGTGGCAGCGGGGCGGCGGGGTGCTGCTGCACCTTGTTCAGTTACGGCGGCCACCCGCGCGCCTGTCGCTGTCTCTCTCGCACCCCGACGGCGCGGCCCGTGAGTGCGAGAGAGACGGAGCGACAGGCGGGAAAAGCAGCTCGTTCCGTCTAACGACGCGTCGGGCCAAATTACGATCGGCAAGGCGTTGGCACGGGCTGCGGCCGCCAGGGCCCCGGCCGGCCTGTTGCCTACCTTCCGGGCCGCCGCTTCGCCGCTTTGAAAAATGAAGCCCGTTGGGACAGAGTCCAGGCTGCGCTAGGTGCGACGTTCGGTGCGGCAATGCGGCAACCCGCGGCAGCGCGGCAGGCAGACTGTGCGAATGTTGTTTACCGCGTTCCACGCGCGGACTGGGCTGCGCTACGCTGCGGTTCTCTCCGCCACTGGGACAACATCTCCAGTATTAAATTAAGCAACGGTTGCGCGCGTGCCGATGAAAAGAAGAGCTCGCGGAGCGCCTCGCTGTCTCTCTCGCACCGCTACCGGGCGCCCCGCGAGTGCGAGAGAGACGACGGCGCGGCGCCGTCCGGGATCAGGCCGCCACCCCCCGCCGGCATTACCAACAGGCGGGACATTGTAGCGATATAAAGTGACGTGGTTATTGCGCGGTGCCCAGCCTGCCTGCCTGCCTGCGCGGCTGTGCGGCGCTGCCCACGCCGCGAGCAGACGAACAAGGCCCTCTCCTCCGACGTGTGGACTCAAATGTCAAAATGTCGAAAAAGCTGAAACTGCTGACTTTGGGCGGCCACTGCGTCCAAACCAGTCCAAACTAATTGTGATTAACGGCCTCCCTCAAAGTCCTGGTGCCCTCTAGACCCTTTTCTTCCACGTCCCGCCCCGGGAACGCCGAAGAATAGTTTCGGAGCATCAGCCTCGCAAAGTTGGTTAAAAAGTCAGAAAATACAATGATTCTCTCCGGAGGACGAAAGGCAATAAATGTGTCGACTTGGGTGTGCGTGGTGTGCGACTCAGTGACCGCGCGCGCAGTGTCCAAAGGCGGTGTCTCCGCCTCGGTCACCGCGCCGCGCCGCGCGGCCTGGCCGGCCTGGCCGCCCCCAGGAAGTACGAGAGCGCGTTGAGCGCGTTGCTGTGCGTTGCCGCGCGTTGCACAACCCGCGCCGTGCGTACTTTTTCCATGTTGAACAAATTGAACAGCGACAATGTCGTCTGGTCTAGCGTGGCTGTCCGCGGCGCCACCGCGCGGAGGGAGCGGAGGGGAGGGGAGGGGGTTCTAACCTCATTTAGGCCCATCTAGCCGCGCCTCACGCGCGCGCCGCGCCGCTGCGCGCTCTGGCGGCGGGCAAGCGAAGACATCGAGATCGCGCTCGGATCGCGCGCCGCGGCGCTGGCCGCCTCGCCGCGCGGGGAGGCATCCTATGTAATTCAATACCCACACCGGTGGTCGAATGAAAAAGGCGGGAAAAATAGAACCGCGGCGATAGTGTTACATCACCGACTGTTATTGGGGGAATCTGAATGGCCGTTTTCCCGCGCGCACGTACACCACTAAAAGGACTCGCGGGACCCTCCACTGGAAAAAAAATACGGAGAAAACATAAACAGATCAAAGTACACAGAGGCGTGTGGTCAGCGGCATTGGCCGTAACAAGAGGCATCATCGACACGCGCGTCTCTCTCTCTCTCTCTCTCACTCGCGGGGCGCCCCAGGGGTGCGAGTGAGACAGAGCGACGCTGCTCGGAGTAGGACCCACATTCTCGCGGCGCGGCGTGCCGGCGTGTCGCCCATTGGTCTGTGTCAGCCGGTCGGGCCGAGTTGGGCCGTGCCGCCCCCACGCTGTGGCCGCCGAGGCTGCCGAGGCTGCGCGGCGCATCGCACACGTGCACGACGACGCTTCACTTTTCATTTCTTCTTTCCCCTCCCTTTCACTCTCGCAGGGAATCTCCAGGGGGCCGAAATAAGCCCCGCTTATCCTCTCGCAATAATCGCAACAAATAATTTTTGCGCGCGCAAAGTCACCGTCACCGGCGCCGCCGGCCGGCCGGCCAGACAGTCAGTCAGACAGACAGACAGACGGACAGACAGACAGACAGACAGACGAGTGGCGGCAGTCCCTGTGGTCCTTCCGTGTCCACGCTTTCCCCTTCGGCTACTGCACCGCCAGGGTCAAGGCTGGCTGTGTGTGTGTGTGTGTGTGTGTGCGTGCGTGATTCGCGAGGCGTCCTGCCGGCCCTACACGACTTGACTCTCGATTTTCGACTTCCCGGCGACCCCCGCGGTGCAGCCGGCTGCGGCCGGTCGCAAGGGCCAGTCGGCCAGTCCCGTTGAAATTGTGGAAGCGACGAGGCGACGGCGGCGGCGGCGGACCGGGTCGCTATCCGTCTCTCTCGCACTCGCGGGGCGCCCCCTAGGGCCCCGAAGGGGTGCGAGAGAGACTGAGAGAGAGCCCCTCAAAGGACGCGACGGCGGCGGGGCATTCAGCGAACGGTCGCTATCGCGGCGAAATCGCGTGGAAATGTAAATTCGGGAAGCGACGCAAGAAGCGCAAGCGGCGCAAGCGGCTCGCCAGCCACGACACGTCGCGTCCCGTCCGGCCGGGATTCCTTCCAGGAGGACTTCCAGGCCTTCCGAAGAAGAAGAAGAAGAAGAAGAAGACATAGCTATAGACCCGACTTTGCGGGGAAATTCAGCTACTTCAACAGTGGTGCTTGCCTGTGCTGGAGCTGTACTCGCCGATGTAGCGCTTGGTCAGGTACCGCACGGTGACGGCTGGAACAAAAGAGAGCACTGTTAATGAACAACAACAACAACAACAACAACAACAACAAAACGCCGAAAAGTGACAAAAAAAAAAACAACAACAAGCGTGGGACACTGCTGCGTTATTACGCAGACTCTTACGCCAACGCCCCCTCCCTCCCCCTTTTGTGCGTCGCGACGCGTCGGCCGGAGGACGGTCGGTGCGGGCGACGCGCTGAATCGTCCGAATCGAGCGATCGCCAGCTTCTTATCGGCCCATCTGACCACGAAGAGCGGTTCGCCGCTGCGTCTCTCTCGCACCCTTGCGGCGCTCGCGGGGAGCGCCGTGAGGGCGACGGAGACGGAACCGCTCGGCTGGAAATGCAGCGTGCAGCGCAACCGAGGCACTCTGCACTGCGAGTCTGCCGCGACTGATTTCGAGGGCCGTCGCTCTGTCTCTCTCGCACTCGTGGGGCGTCCCGTAAGGGTGCGAGAGAGACAGAGCGACGAAGGCGGACCTCGGAATCAGTCGACGGAGTGCGGAGCAATGCGGAGTGCGCGCAACGCCGGTAGCAAACGGCATCATGCAGGCCGTACACACCCGGAGAGGACCCGGAGTCCCGGATGTCCCCGGGGGTCGCTCTGTCTCTCTCGCACCCTTGCGGGACGCCCCACGAGGGACAGAGTGACGACGACGGCGATTCGAAGCGTCGCGCCTTTTTCCTCCCCGTCATGTTTAACACGTGTTTAACCCCGCCGGCCTGGAAATGATGCCGACTCCTAGAGGGCGGTGCGTTGGCTGCGTTGGCCTGCGAGCGGCAAAGATCAGCTTGCGCGAGGCTAGCGAGCGCACGCCAGCGTACGCCAGCGCACGGACCGTATGGTGCTGTTCGTCTTCGCAACGGACATTGATGCGTCGTAAAGGCGGCCCACGAGTGTGTGAGTGTGTGTGCGCAGGGCCCGTTAGATAATTAAAGTGCAGCCAAGAATTTGAGGGCGAAGCCGCGAAGCCCGGCGGGCGTAGGTGTCGAGCTGCACCGAGAGATCCTATCGCCAAAATTAACGGCTTTGTCACACAAATGGCCGAGGAGCGGGCAGCGCCTGGCAGCGCCGCGAAAGGCAAGGCGGTGCAAGGCAGCAAGGCGGTGGCGGCAGGAAATAGCCCTGTCACCACTCCCGGCTAAAGAATTTAGTTCTCCTTCAATAGAGTTTCCCTGCTTGTTCCAGCTCTGAGGATGCAAGCACTTCTTCGGTAAAGAGAGGAAAAAAAAGTTTTGCTAACCCTGAATCCGGTTGAAGGGGGCGGCGGTGTCCTGTTGGGAGTTCCCTCACTGATTTTTATTACCGTTGCAGCCTGTCAGGTCGGTCTAGTCTTCCCGGAGGTTTTTTTGTTGTTAGTTGTTGCCGGTATACAGCACTGACTATGACTCTCCTCGTGCACCCCGGGCCAGAGATAGGGTGCACAGAGAAAAAAACATTCCCAACTTTCTTCAACCGCCAAACTTTTTCTCGATTGTTTTTGTTGTTGTGCCCGTACCGGTGCCGCCATGCGGGCACACGACGTGGCGTGTGTGTCTGTGTGAGTGCGAACGAGTACGCGCCATTTGGCTCAGCTTGACTCGCACGCGCGCCTTGCCAACTTTGGAAAACTTCGCCTCATCGGCCGGTCAACGCCCGATCCAGTCAGTGTTACCAACTGTCACCAAGCCGTGGAAACAATTATTCATTGACCAATTTTCGAAAAGTCATTTTTTTAAAAAACTTGCGAGCAGTAAGTACAAGGCATTCCAGCAGTTTAAAACGTTCAAAATAAACCGCCTCCCTGTCTGTGCTGACTGATTTGTACTCGCGGGAAGAGGGGGGCTGGGCTTGGCCTGGCCTGCTAGGGGGCGGGGCCGGGCGGGGCCGCGGGCGGGGTCTACACACTTTGTAGCGTTACAGAGCGTTACACCGCGGCAACATTCGCAGCAGGTCTCGCTCGCAGGGCGTCGCAGGGTCGCTGACTCGTCCGGCGGACTTTGATCCGTCGATAGCCATCTTTCTCCCTCCTTAATTCAGGCCGACTTGACTGGGAGACACTGTGTGACAGATCGCACCCCGCGGCCGGGCTAACCTATCTGCGCCACGCATTCCTGACTGTGTCCCCCGGGAGGCGAAGGTCCGAGGTTCGAATCTCCCTTTCTTTCTCCTTCCCATTTTTACTTTCACCCTGTTAACAATTCAACCAGGAAAGGGATCTCTGTCCCACATTGCCGCCACTGCATTGTTTAGAGGGCGCAGATAACGGTAATCCAGTGCTAAATCGCGTCACACACACATACGCACGCCGAAGGGAGAGAGAGACGGAGAGAGTCATAAGGGGCTCTCATCGCATCCAATACTAGTCCTGTGTTCTCCGTCCGGCTTGTGTGTCTGTGTGTGTTCGTGACTGTGCGTCGCTGTGCGTGCCACATCTACCAAGTAGTAGCTCCCTGCAGTGGCGCGCCGGTAAAGTGTGTTCTGCGCGAATAATCGCACCCCCTTCATCTCCATGAATAAAAGAACCAGACTCACGCGCGCGCGCGCACACACACACACACACACACACGAGCACAAAAAAGGAAAACCGTAGACGCGCTGAGGTACACGAGCTCCCCTCTAAACAGACAGACAGACACACACAGAAACACGCAGGCACGCGGCTAGTGGTATTTTCAGTGTGACACTGTAGGTTTTGGAGCGATCGACGACTATGCCCGTGACGGCCTCTATGCGGCCACACTGTGGGACCGCAAGGCGCCGCTAGGACGGGAAGCGAAGCCAGGCCGATGGGGTGAGCATCAGGATCACCGAAGGCAGAGAGGCAGGCGTCCGATGTCCTGCCGGATCACTCGGGGCTTCGATCCCACACCTCGGTGTGTGTGTGTGTGTGTGTGTGTGTGTGTGTGTGTGTGTTGACATTGCTGAGATATTTGTTCAACAACATCGTAAGCCTCCAATTCCACAGTGAGATGCACCGCTTAACTAATGCTTTGGTCACCTGTGCGGCGTTGACGCCTCAGCCACCTCAACTTTTTCAAACAGCAAAAATTAATAACCAACCATTTTTAAAAAAAAATAATAATAAAAAAAAAAATTACTTGCTGAAACTTTGAATACATGGATGTCCAAACAATCGGAAACGACGGCAGTAGCCAGTCAAGTTCAGTCTTTCCAGGGCCACGGCGGCGGCGGGCGGCGGCGGCGCAAGGTTTGCCTACGGAGATCACCGAGCTCGTTCCACATCGGGACGAGTTTTTCTTCTTTCCCTCATTATTATTTAACAGGCACATGCGCGCTCTGTGTGCGTGTGCGTACCGGTCTGTGTGTGTGTGTGTGTGGCCGGTGTCATTAGCAAATTTCCGGGCTGCTCGTTTTGGTTTGTGTGTCGTGCGATGCTGTCCGCGTGCGTTTCCGCGCGGCGCCAAAGCTGCCTCTGTCTCTGTGTGTGTGTGTGACTGTGTGTGTGTACCCTCCTTTCCCTACACCCCTTTAGTCCGTTTGCCACGAATAAGGTATAGCGAAGCATTGCGTCACGCCGATTGGGTGGCGGCAGGTACATACGTTTGGTAATTACTCAACGCGAAACGCACAAATTCCTAATCGGCCAGCTCTCTCTCTCTCACTCACTCGCTCACACACACACACACACACACACACACACACACACACACGGTACTGTCCTTCCCTGGCGACCGACACCAACAAGTTGGCAGCGCGAGGGCCGAGGGCTTCCCCGTTCCTCTATCAGTGGCGAAACAGGCAAACGCTCGGAAGAGCCCTCCGTCGCATTCGCGTGCCGCAAAGTGGCCGTCGTCCAGACACCACGCCAAATTATGTATTTCAAGGAGGCTGCGCGCGTCTGTGTGTGTGTGTGAGAGAGAGAGAGTGTGGTTGTGTGAGTTCGCTCCAATTTGACGGACCGCTTTCGACACGTGACCTCTGTGGAGGCGTCCCCTGCGTCCCGGCCCGAGGCGGGGGCCTGCCGTGCCATGCCGTGCCATGCCGTGCCGTGCCGTGCCGTCCAGCCGATTGTTGTTTGCTGAACAAAATATATTCCCTGAAGACTCATTCCGTCATTGCCGGGGGAAGTGCCAAAGCGAGTCGCCAAGCTGCAGGCTGCGGCTGCGGGTGTGCTGAGAGGGGGCAATGACTCCGCTTGCAAAAAAAAAAAAAAAAAAAGAGCTTACCATAATTTGACGCGGGCAGTACTCGAACCCGGGGCGCAAAAATAATACCGTGCACTTTCACTCTGGGTGCGCTGCAAGGCCGCAAGGCCGGGCCCGCCGTGGCCGATGCGACTGCCCAGATAAAGAGGAGGGGGATTTTGACACGAGTCATTTCCCCGGAACAGCGCGGCGGGGCGGGGCGGCCGGATTAGAATGGGATTTAGAACGGGTAATTGCGGCAAAGACACCGGGAGAGGGGCTCGCTGGGGGAAACGGGTTATGAGCTCCTCTCTTCTTTCCCCCCTCTCTCACACACACCAACACACGCATGCAACACAGTGGTCGTGCTGGCGTGGTCGCACACACACACGGACATACACCCGCACACACTCACACTCACTCACATTTGCATACCGACATACACGCAGCATTAATTCCATAGGTGTTCCGTCGATTTTCACGCTGTTTACACGAAGCGACAGGGCCTGGCTGGCGGGGCACCTGCGCGCGGGTCGAGCGCAGGCCGAGCGCAGGTGAAGCAGGTCAAGATTCAGCGAGCACGCGCGAGAGCTGCCACTTGCCCGTTAAATTGAAAAATTGCGCGCCGCGTGTTATTACCGTGTAAGTTGAATTAGCGGCGTCGATATTCTCATTCCGCGCTACAAAGAAGTTGTCGTAAATAACGCAACTCCCGCCGCATCGCCACGGCGCGCCAGGACTCTCCCGCCACTTTTCCGGCCAGTTCTGCCAATCTTGAAATTTTATGGTCCACCATCGGCAACTGGACACCCAGCACTCGTAATGACAGAGCAGCAACTACTCGGGTCACATCAACAAGCCCAT